ATTAAGAAGATGCATTCTTTGGCTGCCACATCCCACCTTCTCCCTTCCTCCGCCCGCCGCCGGCAACTGCCTCCGTCTTCTTACTCTTCCTCTTCCTCGTGCGTTTTTTCATCACGCGCCACCACTATCAAATGTGATTTCGCTTCTCAAAACGATAAACCCCCAAAGCCCACTTCTCTCTTCCACTCCCTCTCCAAGCCCCTCGCGCTAGCTTCAGCTTCCGCTTCCACTCTCCTCATCCGCATCACCCCCTTTTCTACCCTACACCATGGAGGTAGTGGAGACAACTGCGGCGGCGGCGGATTCTCCGGTGGTGGAGGCGGTGGAGATGGTTACAACGGCGGTGATGGAAGCAGTGGTGGCAACTTCTGGGAAAAGCTCTTTTCTCCTTCGCCGGCAATTGCGGACGATAACAACCAAACCCAAGAATGGGATTCTCATGGATTACCGGCCAACATCGTTGTTCAACTCAACAAGCTTAGCGGGTTCAAAAAATACAAGCTTTCAGATATTTCGTTCTTTGACCGACGGCGGTGGACCACTGTAGGAACCGAAGATTCATTCTTTGAAATGATTTCGTTGAGACCGGGAGGGATCTACACGAAAGCCCAGTTACAGAAAGAGCTTGAAACTTTAGCCACTTGTGGTATGTTTGAGAAAGTTGACATGGAAGGCAAAACCAACCCGGATGGAACATTGGCACTAACCATTTCTTTTACTGAAAGCACTTGGCAATCAGCTGATAGGTTTAGGTGTATCAATGTGGGGCTAATGACTCAATCGAAGCCTATCGAAATGGACCCCGATATGACAGATAAGGAGAAACTGGAGTATTACCAAAGCCTAGAGAAGGATTATAGGAGGAGGATTGAGAGAGCTAGGCCTTGTTTGTTGCCAATGCAAGTGCATAGAGAAGTGTTGCAGATGTTGAGAGACCAAGGGAAAGTGAGTGCTAGATTGTTGCAGAAGATAAGGGATAGGGTTCAAAGATGGTACCATGATGAAGGGTATGCTTGTGCTCAGGTTGTCAACTTTGGGAACTTGAATACTAAGGAAGTGGTTTGTGAAGTAGTGGAAGGGGATGTTACACAGCTTGTGATTCAGTTCCAGGATAAGCTTGGGAATGTTGTTGAAGGGAATACTCAGCTTCCTGTTGTCAGGAGAGAATTGCCTAGACAGGTAGATGACTGATGTCTAGACAGCTTGTGCTTCTTGGTTTTTATTTTCTAATTTTCTGTATAGAATGTTTAGGGGGTAATTTTTAAGCTATGAGAAACTGATAAAGAAGTGAAGAACATCATGCATTCTGATATTTGACTTTATAGTTTTTGACTTTCAATGCTAGTTAGTTAACTTAGTTGTGTTGCTCGTCAACAGGTGTAAGTGTCGGATGCGAGTATTTTCAATTTTTTCTAAGTTTCTCCATGCATTAGGAAGGTCCTTAGAGGGTCATATCGCATGGGTTTTGGACACTGGTATTCCAAGAAAAATGAAGAGTCTGATCAATTAGCACGTTAGGGTAGGATTTGATCTTTGGTTCAATTATAAAACTCCTGAAGCAAATATTTACTTTCAGAAGCTGCTGTAAATGTTTAGGTAAGTTAACTTGATCTTTATCAGAACATGAAATGGCATACAAGTGTAGGGGAGGGAAAATATAGTGTGAATATATAATAAGGCATTAACTTTACCGCTTTTGAATAAGGTGTCATGAGCCATAGATTTGCTATAAGATATACCCCTTCATTTCAAGTTTCAACCATTAATGAGTGATCTTTTGTTGATTAAAATGTTTGTTTTCATGCTCCAGTGTGACTGATAGATAGTTTAATACCTTTAGTTATGGAGTTGCAAACTATTGCTATTTATTTAGTTTCTCAAATATTGTATTTTGGTTGCTGATTTAAGTGACTAGTTTCAGTCCTGATAGTGATTAATTGTTGGCTTATCATTTATTCCTGTGCTTTTGATTTACAGCTTCGACCAGGCAATGTTTTTAATATTGAAGCGGGGAAACAAGCCCTGCGGAACGTAAACTCGCTGGGTTTATTTTCAAATATTGAAGTGAACCCACAACCTGATGAGAAGAATGAGGGGGGCATCATTGTTGAGATAAAGCTCAAAGAGCTGGATCAAAAATCAGCTGAAGTCAGTACAGAGTGGAGTATAGTACCTGGACGTGGGGGGTCCCACATTGGTATGTAAATCTAGTTATATATTCTTACTCTGCTATTCTGTATGTAGAAAATAAGAGACTGTGGTTTAACTTTTAATTTCTTACTTATATTGTATGCATGCTGTGCTATGTTTTCTGTTTAGGCTTCACTTCAACCTGGTGGAACTGTATCTTTTGAGCACCGGAATCTCAAAGGGCTTAACAGGTCCATTCTCGGTTCATTGACCACCAGTAACTTTTTTAATCCTCAGGTAATTTTCCTAAGGAGTCATCTTACTGTGTTCTCTCAGCACTTCACCTCTCTTGGTCCTTCTATTGAATATTTTCTCCAGTGATCAATATAAAAATTTGATCTTACAACGTTCCCCTTATTTTCTTCAGGATGATCTTGCTTTCAAGCTAGAATATGTGCATCCATATTTAGATGGTCTTTATAATCCACGCAACCGAACCCTTCGTGCAAACTGCTTCAACAGCCGGAAACTGAGCCCAGTTTTCACCGGTGGGCCAGGAGTTGATGAAGTTCCACCAATATGGGTTGATCGAGCTGGTGTTAAAGTTAACATTACAGAGGTAATCTGCTATTTATAAAAAGGTTTTTGAAGTGATTTTTTGTGCCTTGGAATCATTTTTTAATCAAATGATTATGCCAGAATTTCACCCGTCAAAGTAAATTCACTTACGGACTTGTGATGGAAGAGATAACAACACGTGATGAAAGCAGTCATATATCTGCCAATGGTCAAAGAGTGCTGCCAAGTGGAGGTATCAGTGCAGATGGACCTCCGACCACACTCAGTGGTACTGGTGTTGATCGAATGGCCTTTCTACAAGCAAATATAACACGTGATAATACCAAGTTTGTTAATGGAGCTATTGTTGGTGAGAGAAACGTGTTCCAGGTTAGCCCATTTTTTTATGTTGTGAATATTTAGACTGAATTCGGATAGTCCATTTTCCTTGAAATATCTGTGTTTGACATCCAAAAATAGTATGTTCAAATGCAAGGGAAAATGTAAAAAAAATCAAGCATACCTATGTCAGAGTCATACTCTCATCTGACTCTCATCCCCTAGTCCAAGTAACATTGGGTGGTCTATACATAAATATATATTTTAGTTTGCCTAAATTTTTTTCCTAGTTACTTGACATTTATTTCCTCGATGTAGGTGGACCAAGGACTTGGCATTGGCAGCAAGTTTCCATTCTTTAACCGCCACCAACTAACAATTACACGATTTCTCCAACTCAAGCAAGTGGAAGAAGGTGCTGGTAATTCCCCACCACCTGTTCTGGTTCTTCACGGACATTACGGAGGGTGTGTGGGCGACCTTCCAAGTTATGATGCTTTTACGCTTGGGGGCCCCTATTCTGTGAGAGGTTATAACATGGGTGAGCTAGGTGCTGCCCGGAACATTCTTGAGGTAAGAAGGATTGGAGATACCTATTTCTTCCTTAATATTTTGTTCGTTTTTGAACGTCTTTTATGTTGTATTTCGCGTGAAACGTAAGCTGTTGACCACAATAACGGAACCGGTGCAATCTTCTTCCGATTTGGAGAATAAGTATCTTAATACCTTTTTCCTTTGCTATCTGCAGCTTGGAGCTGAGATCCGAATACCTGTGAGAAATACACATGTTTATGCTTTTGCAGAGCACGGTAATGATCTAGGAAGTTCAAAGGATGTAAAAGGGAATCCAACGGAGATCTACAGGAGAATGGGTCACGGTTCATCATACGGTGTTGGTGTCAAACTAGGTCTAGTGAGAGCCGAGTATGCTGTTGACCACAATAACGGAACCGGTGCAATCTTCTTCCGATTCGGAGAAAGATACTAGAATGTGATTCGGGTTCAATTTTGGTTAAACCCAAGGTGGCCATTTTGGCTTCTGGCTACCACTAGAGCCGTTGTTGATCTTGGAAATCATATGAGAAGCATGAGATCAAGTATACTATTTAATCAGCTTTATTGTTCCAAATAAATTTTGTGCATGATTTTATGCTGTTGTGTAAAACCAAGGATTCATGAGGAAGTTGTGGGTGCTTGACTTTGCTTTTTATGTTCTCAAAGAATCAAAATCAATCAGAATATTATGATTCGAATGGTCTTTCCATTTTTTTTCTTACCATTACTAAATGTAAGGCTTATCAACGAAATCGAGAAAATCAAAAAATCAACACAAATTGAGTAAAACGGTTCGATTTGAATTTACATTTAAACGGTTCGGTTTTTGGTTGATTTAAAGAATCAATTCTATTAATTCGGTTCGGTTTGAGTTTTCCATATGGAACCTACTTGTTCCATATTGAATCGAATAGACAAATTTTTTTTTTGAATTTATAGCTTCAAGTGAATTTTTCATTGAAAAACCGACGAACCGGATCGAAACAAACCAAAAAAACAGCATTATCGAACCAAATCGAATCGAAAAAATTAGTTTTACATAATTCGGTTTCAGTTTAAATTTTAAAAAATCATTTATTTCGGTTCAATTTTTAATAAAAAACCGAACCGAATACACTCCAACTTAATGCCCTTATTTCATCCCATAATTTATTTTTCTTTTCTTGCATGAGTATGTAAACATATACTTTAATGCATAAATATTATAATTATCAGTCGACGTTATTTGAACAGTGTCTATAAAATTATTATTTATTTAAATATATCAAAAATTATTTAAATTGAAGTGAATGCCCAGGTAAGCATAACCAATTGTCTGATTTGCAGATTAATACTACAACAATATGTATATAACATTTACCCAATCGACTGGCTAAGGCGCACCCCAACTTTCCTGCCTTCTACAATTTATAAACGGCAAGGCATTTCTTGGGGACCCCAATAAAGAAAATAATCGTCATCATGCACTGTTCATTTCGGTCATCCAGTGATGCCTACGCCAATCTTATAGATATGTACGCTCATGATCGAGCACTGAAATCAGGAAAACTACTTCATGCGCACCTGATCATCAATGGGTTGGCTCGTTTGACTTATTTGGCCACTAGGTTGATAACATTTTATGCAGAGTGTGACCAAACATCAGACGCTCGTAAATTGTTCGATAAAATTCCCAAATCGAATGTCCACAGTTGGATTTCAATCACAAGGGCATATATCCGACGTGGGTATTATCAGGAAGCAATGAATGTTTTCTCTGAAATGCAAGTAGAAGGTTTGGGAGTCGACAGATATCTTATCCCCAGCATTTTGAAAGCTTGTGGGCATGTTTTGGATCATGAAACAGGAAAGAAAATCCATTGCTTGTGCCTGAAGAAATCTTTTGAAAGTGATGCTTTTATTACCACTTCCCTCATTGATATGTACTCAAAATGTGGGCAAGTTGATAAGGCGAAAAAAGTGTTCAATGGGATGCTTAACAAAGATTTGGTAGCTCTGAATGCTGTTGTTTCAGGATATGCTCAAAAGGGGACTGCAGAAGAAGGGTTACGTTTGGTGGAGGAGATGAAATTTATAGGAGTTAAGCCTGATGTAGTTACTTGGAACACTTTGATTGCTGGGTTTTCAAAGAAAGGTGATAATCTATTGGTGTCTAAAGTTTTTGAACTGATGTCGGTGGATGGGATCGAGCCAGATGTTGTATCTTGGACTTCTGTCCTATCGGGGCTTGTGCTGAATTTTAGATACGACGAGGCTTTTGATACCTTTAAGAATATGATGAAACAAGGGTTATATCCGAGCTCAGCTACCATTAGTAGTCTTTTGCCTGCTTGCATGAATGCAGTGAATTTGAAGCGTGGGAAAGAGGTTCATGGATATGCAATTGTGATTGGAGTTGTAGATGACGTTTATGTAAAGAGTGCACTTGTCGATATGTATGCAAAGTGTGGCTTTATATCTCAAGCAAAAACTTTATTTTGTAAAATGTCTGAAAAGAGCATTGTTACCTGGAACTTGATGATTTTCGGGTATGCGAATCATGGATACTGTGAGGAAGCAGTCCAGCTTTTTAAACAAATGGAGGGAGAAGGGAAGAAGCCGGATTACTTGACTTTTGTAGCAGTCCTCAGTGCTTGTTGCCACTCTGGCTTGGTCGAGCTTGGAAAGAGTTTATTCGACTTGATGCAAGAGAAGTACAAGATTTCACCGAGGTTAGAACATTATGCTTGTCTAGTAGATCTTATAGGTCGAGCCGGGAAACTTGATGAGGCTTATGATGTTATTAAGACAATGCCTATGGAACCAGACTTATTTGTATGGGGAGCTCTATTAGGAGCATGTAGGAACCATGACAATATTGATCTTGCTGAACTAGCAGCTAAGCATCTGCGGGAGCTTGAGCCTGGTAGCAAAGGAAACAATCTGCTGTTGGCGAAGTTATATGCTGATATTGGCAGTTGGGGATATGTTGAAAAGTTGAAGAGGATGAAGAAAAAGAAGCTGGGAAAGTTTCTAGGGTGTAGCTGGATAGAAGGTTCCTAATTACGTTGAAAGAAAAAAAAGTGTTTTTCCACCCAGAACGATCGGCATATCTCATGCTTTATGTTATGATTTTCTCGAGCTCACTTGTCTGTGCTCCCTTATCGGCTGATCGGTAATTAGTGGTCCGGAACCGAAGGGCTTCTTGGTTCTGTTTTAGTATTTGAGGGCGTTGCAGTTTTACTGCTGATTCTTCAAGTATTTCATTTTGGTTAGAAGAATCAGCTGCATTCATTTGTGTTGTATAGAATCGGCACCGGAATCTGCCCTGTAAATATTGCATGACCTGCTACATTCATATATATATATATATGTGTATTCATAGCTCTACCGAATACTCTAAGGAGATTCCCAAACATAAACGGGAAAATAGTAAAGAAGAAAATTCAACATTTAAGGGGAAAACAAGGAAAGAAAGAAAATGTCATTAACATTCATCGATGAAGGTAACTTCAAAGATGCCAACTTTACGCTACCAAATGGGTATGTCATAAACAGCCAAAATCCATCTCATCAAGCTTATCAACAATAAGATAACAATAATAAATAAAAAGTACCCAAATTTTAATATTATTTAAGTTCTAATGTCACAAAATTAAAGAAAGAAAATCAAACAGGAGCCCCGCGTTTTCCATGTAAAACCAACACCACCAAACATTAAACTAGAGCTAATAATAACGTATAATATCTTGAAAGATGGAAAGCTTTACTTTTCTGAAGCTGGCATCGAAGTAGAAAGTAAATTAAGCTTGACTTTTCAGATCCAACGGCTGATATTAAGTTATCCACGTATCAACTAGAGGTGCAGCGGTTAGATCTAATGCAAATCCACGTGGCATTATCTCTTCAACCAAAACAGAAAGAATAAATAAATAAATTGCTATGAACAGTTCAATTTCGGACACAGAAAATGGAGCGTAACTGAAAGGAGATAATTTTATCGCGTTCTCTCTTCTTTCCTTTTATATATTCTCTCTGGAAATTGCTCATTTTATGCAATCAAATGATCGGCTGATCTTCGTTTTCCTTGTGTAAGTAAGTGATTTCACTCTCGTTTGTTTCTTTGTATTGAATTCTGTTTGTTTGCTGAGAAAACGGTGGAAATTTTGAGATTTTTCTTTTCCTTTTTTCCCTTCCGATTTCTCATGATCGAAACAAGACCCGGAAAGTCCATTATTGGTTCCCTAATATTTTGATTCACACAGGGCAATTTAGGAAAGTGGCTTTAGCTAATAATCCTTAATTTTTTAGTAAATTTCAATTTAATAAAGCATGATTTCTTTGCTATCTATGCTTCCCGAGGAAGTGACTTCTAATTGAGATTCTCATACATTTGAATTGTAATAGGATTAAAGGTTTTAATGGAAGAAGCTATTTGCCTAGATTTGCCACCTTTTAGACAAGTTGAAGTTCTGAGTTCTTGCAACAATGAATTTTGTTTTCCGAGGGAGTAGAGGAGATATTGAGAGCGGGTTTTCAGGATTTATTCATGAACGTCCTTCCGTGGTATGTTTGCTTATCCACATCTGTATACTTGGTTTGCCAGCTCGCCTAATAATGTATAATGGGACTTGATCGGTTACTGTGCTTTTCCTTTTCCAGCGTATACATGCATCTCGACCAGTTAACTCCAATTCACTGGCCTTCTTTGTTACAGGTAATGTTTCTGGTACGATTTCTTCCATTGCATCTGATGTTTTTGTTTCTAAATGATTCCTTATTTTATTTTTAACTTGCATTTCAATGCGTTCTTACCAATTTGTTTTCGGCAGTTCTTTTGCTATTCATGATTTTAAACTCTCACCAAATGTCTCCAAACTTTCTGGTACGTTCATGATACACATTTGCTGAATTACTGGGAGCATGCTGGCTGTTAATACATCATGGAAGTATTCTCTTTTTCTGTGCATGCAGCTTTGGCTAGTAGTGGGCATCTTTTTAATGGCTACTAGCCTTAGGATGTATGCAACTTGTCAGCAACTTCAAGATCAGACTCGAGTTCACGCCGCTGCAGGTAGTGGTTTTCTTGGTCATACTGAGTTGCGTTTGCACATGCCACCATCAATAGCTTTTGCTACAAGAGGACGCTTACAAGGACTAAGTCTCCAACTTGCCCTTCTTGATCGTGAATTTGATGACCTAGGTATGGTGCTTTTTCAAAACTCAGTGATGTGATCCCGTGGTTTAGTTTTAACATGCACGAGTTGCTTCCTTTCTGCTGCAGATTATGACACCCTAAGAGCATTAGATTCGGATAATACTTCCGCAAGTCATTCGATGAGTGAGGAAGATATAAATGCTTTACCAGTGCACAAGTACAAGGTCCATGGCTCAGACAAGTAAGCACACATGCTTCTGTTTACGTACTCAAGATTTCACTACCTATAGCTTGTTTTGGTTGTGAACTAGCATCCTGGGTTTGCTTATTTTCTTGCCATCAAATTCATAATTGTGTGGATTGAACTTCCTTGTTACTTTTACAGTACTGGATCATCGGTGCAATGGACCTCATCTTCATCAGTACCAGTTGAGGTATTGGTAAATAAAAATTCCTTCTGCAGTTGCTTATTCTATTTGTTAGTTGCAATAACTCTTTCATTGAGGTTTACATTTTTTGAAGATGTTGGTAACATAACAAGTTATCGTGTACATCTTTCATGTATGGTTTTTGTAGTCTAAGTCCCAAATATATTTTGCAGCAAAAGCAAGATTCTAGGAAGGCTGATGGGAATATGAAGGCTTCAGAAGATGAACTAACTTGCTCTATTTGCTTGGATCAAGCGAACGAGGGGGAGCTTGTTCGGATCTTACCATGTTTGCATCAGGTCCTATTTTTACGGTCTATTCATATCTTCTTTTGTCATCTAATGATTTTATATTGTACTCTTCATTTGTCAAAATTGTACAATGTTTCAGCTTTACATACAGATGTCAAATTCCTGACTTGTTGAAATGGATGATGTTATACCGTTGTTAGCTGAAATCTGCCCTTGACATAATTTATCACGATCCATGAATCTTGTTAATGTACGAGCATCATTGTGTTTTTTTATGCTTGGTCCTTGGTTGAGATGCTTATAGTTAAATCCTAAATCCAGAACTCTGTCTGTAGTATAATTCCAAGTTGTAAATGGTGGTCATCTTGATTGCATTTCAATTAGTATGAGATTATATGGAAATTCGATAACATTTTCTTCTTGCAGTTTCATACCAACTGTATTGATCCATGGCTGCGGCAACAAGGTACATGTCCGGTATGTAAGTTCAGAATGGGGTCAGGATGGTTGGAAAACAGGGAGAGTGAATCATATGATTCAGACATGGTTTAACTCGACTCCGCTGGCTGTGTTATGCATCTCTATATATATATATATATTTACGGTAACATTAAAATAACATTTTTTCCTCCTCTGGGGATCTGACTGTAGATCTCCATAAGGGTAGGGTTTCATCATGCTTAGGCTTGTACAGTTAACTTCTCTTTGACCTTTGATGTTTCAATCCCCATCTGGCATTGCCAACTTGTAGCAGTTTTTATGATCTGGTACTAGTCCAACTTATTCCAAGCTCTGTATTTTGTTATCATTTTACCCCATCTTAACCCCAACTTTGGAATGATTGTCGGAAGTGTCTTTGTTTTGATACGGATATTTTCTGAGCTTTTAAACAAGTTTGTTTTATATACCTACAAGATTTTACAAATGTTGAATTCAGATGTTTTATAAAATAATAATAATAATAGCAATGAACTCAGATGGTGCAAGACACCACTGTTTGGTGAAATTAACGACCCTATGGATAGCTATAATGACATCTTTATCTTAAATTAATGATTAATATTATTATCAATTATTAGTTAATCTAATAAATGAAACGTTAATACTTTTAAATAAGGTAAAGGTTTCATCTTTTAAATAAGATTTATATTTAGAAAAAAAATAAGTTTAGAAATTTATTTTATAATGGATTTCGATCGGTGAATTAAATTTTGATTAATAAAAAAATAATTAAAAAGTATTTGTTTTTTTATTATTAAGTTAATGGTGATTATACATAATATATGTTTTAGATACTCTTAATCATTTGACAATGAACGCTTAATCACTTTTGTAGTTGTTAGTGCTAGAATCCGTGACTTTTAAAAACATCAATAATTTTTTTAACCATTAGGATAAGTTGATTTATACTGGCGTTTTATATGCTCTAGTTTAATGATATGATATGATTGTTGCTCACTCCATTATGATAAAATTTAATTTAATTTAGAGATAAAATAATATTTAAATATTACGTTATAATAAATTAAATAGTCCTATACTAGTGATTCTTTTATCGCATTTTAGCAGGGATAGATGTACTTAATCTTTTAGAGGCCAAGTCTATACTCATTATTTTAAATAAATTATTTAATATAATATAATTCAATATATTAAGAGAATGAAAAAATATATCTATTTATTTTTTTGAAAAAAAATAAAATTTTTAAATTTATTTTTAAATTTTTAGATCTATCACTGATTTCAAGCGGTCCACTCGTGTTTATTTACTATGTCATCTTCCCCGTTATTATCAACGCTGAAAAAAGGGAACTACAGAGGAAAGGAACATAAACATGAAGAAATCTCCATTTATTATTACCATACGCATACTCTGGAGCAAGTAAAGTAGAACTCCTCAACTAAAAATAGTAGAACAGAAGAATCGTAGTTGGTGCAACCAAAAACAAAATATATTATCCAAATTTATTTTTCAAAAATGTAAAAAGCCATTTGAAGCCATAGATAGTAAGCAAAATTCTGGTATAATCCATAACTTTATGATTAAGATTGAGTTACACTAAGAGGTTAGAAAGAAGAGTGTAATGATTTGTATTGTTGCTTAAAAGGAAGGTGGGTCAAAAGTCGTCTTCGCTGAGTCCCCATTCACCAACCAAAAACTATATTATGCATGTCGCGGTTAGGCTTCCATCTTCCTTCATTGTCAACGTAAACCTCAATTTACTGCTTTTGGTTCATTGCCAATTGGGGAAGATGCCATAACTCCCTTTGACTTCTCTCTTTATCTCCAACATTTAACGGTTACATATTACACCTTGGAAATATAGTTTGCAGCCTCCGTTCCAAATTCGTGATTTCAATACACATAAATACGATTAAAAATGCATCAAAAACTCATATTTAATATGTTAAAATTTTATAATTACGATAAACATGACGATGAAATCGAAAATGCGTACCCATCTATATATACTATTGAAATCATTGAGTCAAAGACAGAAGAATCAGATGGTCATTGGTTGGGACGATTGCTTCACTGTTTTCTTTGGTGGTAATTAAAAGATACATGATTACTCCTCCATATATCTCTTTCAGGGGCTCCATTTATCTTTCTAACTACCAATCCTCTTTCATTAATCCCTAAACCACAATTTGGGATATTGAAATCATAAAAAATGATGCTTTCGGATACATTGTTTTTTATTATTAAATTATTTATTTTACTTTCACTTGGTTTTATTATCTATATCATCCGAGTCTCAATATTTGAATATATTTAATTAAGAGTTCATATTTAATACACTAATAATGTATAATTCTAGCACGAACCAACTTATCCTCAGTGGTTAAAGGAATTATTGTTGTTCTTAGAGGTCACTGGTATGAGCACCAACAACTGCAAGAGTGATTGAGCGTTCATTATCAAATGTTTGAGAATACTTAGAACATATGCTTTGTAATCACCTTAACTAAATAAATAATAATAACGTATAATTTTATGATTTGTATTGTAAGTGCATTAAATGATTATATATCCTTATAATTAAATTAATTTAAATAATTTAGTTTTAATATTTATGATATGTGTCATCATATAATTAATCTAATATTACATAAAATTATATAATGTGTGTATCAAATAATAATCTTTCAATTAATTTGTTTTAAACTTTTTAGAAACCAAAGTGGTTAAAGGGATGGTTGTTCTCCTTAGAGTTATTGGGTTCGAGCATGATATTTAAACGTTCATTATCAAATGATTAACGATTTTTCGAACATATATTATAATCACTTTAGACTAATAAAATTAACTTTTTATATTCTGGGATAATAATATTCTAAAAAAAGATGTCTTTTTTATTAATATAGGGAAGATACAAGATAATATTTGTTCAAATATAACTTTTAACTTATTGACATTGAACACTCGGACTCCATGCATCTATAATGCTCGAACCTCTTCAGGAATATTAACAATTTCTTTACTACGAAAAACACTTGGTTCGTGAAAAAAAAAGGAGAACTTTTGATGTATTGGGATAATTAATATTCTCGTACTCATGCAAAAATATGCATGGTAAACACAAATGTTGTATACCTTGTGAAATTTTTATAGTTACATCTGATTTTTCCTTAATTACACAGATGTAACTTATATTGTAAATATTATCGGAAAAATACTTTGTGAATATCAATGATAAATATATTTATTGTTAATTATATATTTGGAATATTATAATGAAAAATATAGTATTTAATATGTGTTAAATATGAATATAAGATACAAATATTTAAAGAGAAATAAAAAAATTTATTGTTGAATTGAGTAATAAAGAACTCAATACACTTATACAGATATTTTAGATTCGAGTTTTGTATATAAGAAAAAAAATAACATTAAAAGAATTTATATTTTAAGATCTGATTAAACTTGACTTAATTAGATATATGTAGACTACATAACTAACACAATATTGGGTGTTAGAGTTTAAAAAAATACAGGTTATCAAAAAAGTGTAAAAAAGAAGAAGAGAGAATTCTCTTTTTGTCTAAACAATTCTGGAAATATCTGTAACAAAGAAAAGGTATAATCACTTACTCCAGCTGTTTTTAGGTTTAAAAATGGTGAAAATTTGTATATAAAGATAAGCTCGACGGGTATAACAAGAACAACCTCATTGATTAACATACTTTAATGATACTCGACAGTGAAGAAAACTGGGGCCAACGTTTGGTAATTTTCTGCTTTCAGATCAAACATGTTAACATCGTATAACCTAATCAACCAAACCAGAACACAGAGACACATTCACTACATTCTTATGTCCCTATATATTCATACATGTTTCTCCACGAACAGAAAATACTAAAAACCCTAAACTTCAAAACGAACATAAGAACTTGGTTTCCAACATGGGGTGTTCAGGTTTTTTCTCAGCAGCAGTAATGCTTATCTTCTTCGTTGGCTGCTTCATGGCGGTTCCTGAGGTTGTCGCTGCAAATCATGGCGGCGTCACCAGACACTATAAATTCAGAGTATGCTGCTGCCATTGCATTTTCTTTGCTTTGCATTGTTTAAGATTACTAGTCCTGAAGTGAAAGTGATTCATTACAACAGTTCTCAAGAACTGATAATTTTTTTTTTTTTTTGCAGATAAGGATGAAGAATATCACTCGGTTATGCCGTACTAAAAGCATCGTTGCAGTTAATGGGAAGTTCCCTGGGCCTCGTGTCGTTGCCAGAGAGGGAGACCGATTGTTCGTTAAAGTGGTTAACCATGTCCCTAACAATATTACCATTCATTGGTACGTAAGAAAGTCACTGACTTCAATTTCTTCACTACTAAGAATTTTTCATGTTCATCCCTTCGGCAATTTTTGTTCTTTGTAGGCATGGTATTAGACAGCTTCGGAGTGGATGGGCAGATGGGCCGGCATATATCACACAGTGTCCCATTCAGACAGGCCAGTCTTACGTTTACAACTTCACCATAACCGGGCAAAGAGGAACTCTCTTCTGGCATGCTCACATTTCATGGCTCAGAGCCACTGTTTATGGCCCACTCATCATCCTCCCAAGGCGCAACGAATCTTACCCTTTTGTCAAACCCTACAAAGAAGTCCCCATCTTGTTTGGTAATCATTTTTTTTACTGGCAGATAAAAAAGTGTTCGACGATTTGACTGAGTTTTTTTTTTTTTTGGCTTGTTAAACAACAGGTGAATGGTTTAATGCTGATCCCGAAGCTGTTATCAATCAGTCTCTTCAAACAGGTGCTGGCCCCAATGTCTCCGATGCCTACACTCTCAATGGCCTCCCTGGCCCATTGTACAATTGTTCCGCTAAAGGTATATCGTATTCGAAATCGTGTTCTTGTTTTTTTTTTCACGGCATTTCTAATCGTTTTCTTTCTGTGTCAGATACATTTAAGCTGAAGGTAAAGCCTGGGAAAACATATATGCTGAGGTTGATCAATGCTGCACTCAATGATGAACTATTCTTCAGCATTGCCAATCACAGTTTCACAGTTGTGGAAGCTGATGCTTCATATGTGAAGCCATTCGAGACCGATACATTGGTGATTGCACCCGGACAAACCACCAATGTTCTTCTCAAAACCAAATCTCCAGCTCCCAGTGCCACTTTCTTCATGTTAGCCAGACCCTATTTCACTGGCACGGGTACAATTGACAATACCACCGTTGCGGGCATCCTTGAATATGAAAACCCTTCGAGTTCTTCATTGAAAAACGTTCCTCTTCTTAAACCAGTCTTGCCTGCCATCAATGCTACAAATGTCGTAGCCAATTTCTCAAACAAATTCAGGAGTTTAGCCACCACCAAGTTCCCTGCCAATGTCCCACAAAAAGTAGATAAAAAGTTCTTCTTCACAGTTAGTCTTGGATCCAACCCTTGCCCCAAGAACCAAACCTGTCAAGGACCTAATGGCACAAAATTTGCAGCTTCAATGAACAACGTCTCTTTCGCACTTCCATCGACCGCACTTTTACAATCCTACTTCTTTTCCAAATCAAACGGGGTTTTCACCACTGATTTCCCAGATTTCCCTCTTCATCCATTCAACTACACTGGCACTCCACCAAACAACACCCATGTCATCAATGGCACTACTAAAGTTGAAGTGATACCATTCAATACGAGTGTCGAAGTAGTGTTGCAGGAAACCAGTATCCTGGGTGCTGAGAGTCATCCTCTCCATCTCCATGGCTATAATTTCTATGTTGTTGGCCAAGGTTTCGGTAACTTTGATCCTAAAAGTGACCCTCCAAAGTTTAACCTTGTTGATCCTGTTGAAAGGAACACCGTTGGTGTCCCCTCCGGTGGTTGGGTCGCGATCCGTTTTCAAGCAGACAATCCCGGTAACGATTCATATCATTTAATTCACTTTCTAAATATGATTTCCTCGTTTCCTTATATATTCTGTCTAAATCATTCAGGAGTTTGGCTGATGCACTGTCACTTTGATGTTCATCTGAGCTGGGGCTTGAGGATGGCATGGATAATCTTGGATGGAAAGCTCCCTAACCAGAAGTTGCCACCTCCGCCGTCCGATCTTCCCAAGTGTTAACTTTTGTCACTTTAACCGGAACCTGAAGCATCATCAATCTTGCCACGATGCACAAACTTTTAAATTTCTCTATTTTATGTTCCATTTTACTTCATTGTTTGGAGGGTTTTCATGTAACTTATATACATATATAATCGTTTTGTTGGCGTCTGAAGAGTATCCTAAAGCCAACATTGACATTGAACATGGTTCTTTGCTATCGTAGTATCCATCACCAAGACAATGGTGGAGGTTTTGTACTTTGTATCAACCCAGAGTTTCAATGCAGTTGTTACGGCAATAATAATAATAATAAATCAAACTGTTTTAATACATCTATTTCTGTATTTGAATTATTATTTTTTGGAACTTTATTTAGAAAAATTAAGTGAAAAATCTGATTATTGAGATTTAAAGTTTAACACTTCTTAATCGGATTTTTGAAAATATCTGTCCTGATGACTCAAACAGTAAAAGATCAGAGAAACAATCGAATCTTGCTTGTATTCAAGATTCAGAAATCTATATCTTTCTTCAAATATTCTTTTCTTACAGCTATGAAACTTGTAGCTCTCTGGTTTATAATTACAAAATTTGACTACTTGTTCTTGATCCAATGGATGAAATCCATGAGTTCAATACAAACAAAAGATCCATCAAATTAATGGAGAAAAGTGAAAAGAAGAATCCTTCCCTACTGATTCATATAGATATATATATCCTTCAAGAATCTCCTTGTTTATGCCAGCACAGAAGCATGGCAACACAACGCCTCATAATGTAGAATCTCGCCTTCTGTTCTTTGGCTAATTTACTGCATTTACGCGAAATAGACGAGCTCTTCTGTGAACAACTTCTTGGCAATGGACATTTAGACGAAGAAGAAGGGTTTTTTTGTGAAGAACTTCTAAGAAGATGGGAGTTGGAAGAACTGGTTGTCTTCGTCGTCGTCTTTGCTGAAAAACTCCTTGGTAATGATGACAGATTTGAAGAACTTGAACAATGGCTATTATTATTACCCGACGAGGCTTCCTTTTTTTGTATTTTATATATTTCCTCCATGGAAAATAAGCGTTGCAGAAAAGCTTCAACACCAAGCAATAATGGCGTCACCGTTGTTAGGGTTTGAATCTATGAGAGAAGATGAACAGTGAAAGAGAGGACGTGTGAAAGGAGATGTGTCTGTGAACTATTCTCGTTGTCGTTGCGGCTTATATTAGCGAGGCTATATGTTCTTATATATATATATATAAAGTGTATATTCATTAGTTTCCTTAGCCCATACGACAGCTTTGTATGGGGTTACCATATAGTGAGTTTGCATGTTTATCCGTTCCTTTGGTTGCTTACGTGGCACAACACCATTGGTTGGTTCTTCAGGATTCTTGCACGTCAGAACTTTTTTCTAGATTCAAAATATATTTTTAATTTATGTATTATTAGCAAAAAAATTAAACAATTCTAATTTATTTATATATTTTTAATTAATATTTAAATATGCAATTATATTAGTTAAAAAAGAATATGCAATTATATACATATATTATACCCGAATAAATAAATAATTAATTATCCATTAAATGTATTGGACCGACCGGTCCCTTTCGTAGGATTCTTGCAAGAGGTTGGATCACTACGGTATTTTATGTAATGGTTCTGCATTAATACTGATATATAATATTTTTTTTATTTTGTTTTTCTAAATTAACTTGAAATTTTGGTCAGAACAATACCAATTACTTTATTGATTTTTAATGTTATTTTAGTACGTTATAACAGTTAAAAATGAAAGGCATAAAATTATATATTGGAAATAGGATTCACATTCACATGCACATGCAAAACCTTTGGACCTGCAAAACAGAAGCTTGAAATTTTAAAATATTTTTCTAAAAATAATATTATTCCTTTCGGTATATGTTTTATAAATATATACTGAACTTAGCATGTGATGAAAGTTTATTAGTTCGATGACGCTTCTTCTGGTATAGCACAAATTCTGAATTTGAGTTTGAATAAATATTAAATGAGTATACACCTGATAGTATAGATTTACTTTTTAATATTACTTTCATATATCATAGTTTATATTTATATTTAAAACGTATTAAACTCTTATATCAAATACTGATATTTTTAAATTAAGAAACTTTATTTTACTGTTTAGAAAATAATATAATGTTTTATATTAAATTTCGATTTCGATTTTATCTATAATACAATTACTAAAACCAAGGAAGAAAAGAGGGGAATCTAAAGAACATAAATCAAACACGTACATATATTGCATTTGTTAACAACATTGACCAGTCAAATTGTCTCATTTGTCAACAAATTTATTTCAAATATTGTAGAAATGTAAAGACTTTGCTTTCACATGTTCTACAGATCAGTGGTTGGTATTTCAAGATTTTATAATATTTTACTCCTTCGATTTTAAAGTCTTTCTTATAATATAAAAGCCTCTAGTTTTATTAAAAATAAAAAATATATAAATTATAATAAAGTTTTACAATTATAACAGTAAACTAAAACATATAATAAAAATATTTTTTTTTATAAAATTAGTCATTGAAAAAATCAAAGCCAAGCTCAATCACTGGTCAGGAAAACACCTGAGTTATGCAGGAAGACTCGAACTCATCAGAGTTGTCTTATTTAGTGTTGCTAACTACTGGTGCAGGCAATTATTTTTACCACAGTCTATTATAAACAGGATCGAACAACTCTGTTCTCGTTTTCTCTGGAAAGGTTCCGACAAGGTTGCTACTGGCACTAGAGTAAGCTGGAGATTGATATGCCACTTGAAATTTGAAGGAGGCCTAGGCTTAAAGGACTTAAAAACATGGAACAAAGCGTGTATGATTCAGCTCATTAGAAACATCTTAGCAGGGGAGGGCTCACTGTGGGTTGCTTGGGTCAAATCCTACGTGTTAAAAGATAGAGACTTCTGGCACTCAGAAGGTGGAACTAATGCTAGTTGGGGCTTCAGGAAACTGCTAAAACTTAAAAGAGAAGCACAAACTATTTTTTCTACATGAGCAATGACGACTCGCTCCATATGTGATGAGATTAGAGTAAAGAGGGACAAAGTTATTTGGCATAATCTAATATGGTTTCCTCTTCACATACCAAAACACAACATGATTCCTTGGATGGTTATCTTGGACAGACTGCCAACTAGGAATAGGCTTCAACATATGGGCATTATAACAGATGGCTTTTTTGTTATGTGCAATGAGGACCGGGAGACAAGAGACCATCTATTCCTTGAATGTCCTCTGGTATAATCTCTTTGGAAAACCATCATGCAACTCTCCGAAATAAGGTCACATTCTTTGTCCTGGAACAACTTCTTAGCATCGGCTTCTTATGCTTGGAAACCCTACTTATCACTATTTTGAAACTTGCATGGAGTGCATTCCTCTATTCTCTATGGGAGGAACGAAACAGAAGATTGTTCAAAGGAATCTCCAGAAATGCAACTGAAATTCTTAAAGCTATCAAGGAGATTGTCGGAATTCAACTTAGAGGTCAGAATATTAATAGACTTGATGATGTTAATATTACTCTTTGTAAGAACTAGAGTATTGAATGACCTATACTATGTTTTGTGAATAGGTTGTTCTTGATTTTAGGTTGTTTTTCCATTGATGATTGTTTTGTAGTAGAACACTGCTCCTTTGGGTAATAAATTTTTTTCAATTATCCAAAAAAAAAGAATTATGTAAGGAAAAGTTTAAAAATCTAACCAAATAAATTCAAATAAAATGTATATACGAACAGAAGAAACCATCTATTCCTTGAATATCCTCTGGCAGAATCTCTTTGGAAAACCATCTTGCAACTCTCCGAATTAAGGTCACCTTCTTTGTCCTGGAACAACTTCTTAGCATCGGCTTCTTATGCTTAGAAACCCTACTTATCACTATTTTGAAACTTGCATGGTGTGCATTCCTCTATTCTCTATGGGAGGAACGAAACAGAAGGTTGTTCAAAGGAATCTCCAGAAATGCAACTGAAATTCTTAAAGTTATTAAGGAGATTGTCGGAATTCAACTTAGAGGTCGGAATATTAATAGACTTGATAATGTTAATATTACTCTTTGTAAGAACTGGAGTATTGAATGACCTATACTGTGTTTTGTGAATAGGTTGTTCTTGATTTTAGGTTGTTTTTCCATTGATGATTGTTTTGTAGCAGAACACTGCTCCTTTGGGTAATAATTTTTTTTCAATTATCCAAAAAAAAAAAAGAAGAATTATGTAAGGAAAAAGTTTAAAAATCTAACCAAATAAATTCAAATAAAATGTATATACGAACAGATCAGATTATACAGTAAAACAAATCGCAAAAGAAATTAAGCTATTGCAAGACTACCGATAAACCGTAAATCAAAATTGAGCAACGCGAGGAAACTATCCACCAACGTAAATCACATATCCAAATTCAATCTGAAAGTCCAAATTAGGAAAATTAACATGATAACAAATGAAAGTCATCTTATCAGTTGTGACGATATCAAATCTAATCATGAAAAAAGTGATAAAAAACAATTAAAATTAGTTAAACATCGTTTGTAGAATTTATTTATATTTTATTTAAAATAATACTAATATAATTTTACAATAGGTGTTCGTATCATATAATGACCTTAAAGTTAGAAAAGTGTTTCTAATATATAAAATAATAATATTATAATTTAAATTTAAACAAAAAAAATAACATCATGTGGGCTTTGATTGGGAATATTACATTTGGGAGTATCCACACGGAAACATGTGAGGGTACACAAGCATTGGCACCCTTCAAAAATGATTATTCTATTTTTTTAAAGTGAAAAACATATAAAATAATTACAATTTATCAACATATCAAAATTTAAATATATAACATTTTAAATATAATTACGCTATCATATATATATATATGGATGATTAAAATTAAATCTGAAGGTAAACTGTACCGATAAAAGTAAGATTTGATAGTAACATGATAAGCAAGATAATACGGTTTAACTAGAAAAAGTTGATTGTCAAATCCAATTCAATTGTCATCTAATCCAAGCTCGAGTTCATAATCAAGCTTCTTGCCAAAAGAAATAACTGGAGTACGCCTCTAATCCGCACATAAAGGCAAGCCACCTTAGAAAAACCGACAGCCTCTCTTGGTATATATATTCCTTGAGAGCTCCTTCAGTATATGAAATTATGAAGGAAATTTAGTGCCTCTTTCGCTTTAGTTGTTTCCATTTTTGCAGTAAATGCTGCACTCCCTCTGTTAACGTCGCCTTCCTCCCTTGATTGAAGTTCCAGAGTTCTGGTATTATGTATCTGCCACTTGGATTATAATCATTCATCTGTTTCAACGCCACCGTCACAGCACCGTATACTTCATCGCCAAACTCCGCCTTAACCTCAATCAATTTTTTGTCTTCCTCGTCAAGAATTTCCTGTTTCATTAAGAACCATTTCCCTACTGTCACACCTTGGACAAATGACAGTTATTGAAGAGGTTGTTGGAAAGTAAGTGTGAATTTAGGAACATACCTTGGAATTTCCTTGTTTGTCTGTGATTATTTTAAAAGGATGCCAGCTAGGATCTCTAAGGTACTCCTGCCACAGTGAACATAGCTCTGCTGATTTCTCATCAGCTTCTCTTGCTGAGTATTTTCTCTTGGCTGCCGTCTGGAATGGTTTAATATCCAGCTCTCCCATTTTCTTCACACCAATTTGAGACCGGGCGGAAACATCTCTGAAAGCCTGAAACAAAATTTAAGCACTCTGAACCTCATGTCTTCCTTCAACCCCACATACCCATTTTATTAAGTATTGCATGCAAGTTATATTACTCGTTAGTATCATATACGGATATTTCAATCACGGGTACTCAAAAACAATAAACGAGTAACTTAACAAGAAAGTGATACATAAGTCAGTGCTAACAAGTGGACCGTCTTACATTCAGCTAATCCATCCCCTGCGAAGCAGCAACCCTTTTTTTTCAGTGATCGAGCTAACATGCATGTCTTTTAGGTTCATGTTGTCTTATTATAATTGATCAATATGAGGAAGCTCTACACCCATAACTGACCCACTATCTTATACATACCTCCTAAGGAAAGAAAAAGAAAAGGGGAATTCTTACAGTGATCAGCTCCTTTCGGGCATCCTGTAATTCATCATTACTTTTGCGCTCCTTGATGATAAGAGCTTGATTAAGATCCTCCAAGTCTTCTAGTTCTTCTTCCTTCTCTTTCAGTTCCTCTTCAATAGACTTCATCTTTTTGTTCATTTCTGCATCTCCATCCCCTTTCATGTGCTGCATAACTTGTAGAGCCCCTTTCATACGCTGTATCGCCAGCTCCAGAGTTTGTTTAGCATCAAGTTGTTTTTCTAGCTCAATGATTTGTCTGTGAAGTTTCTCCTTTTCTCTCTGGCATAGGAAGGATAGAAATGGCAAATGAAGAGCTTCAAGAGTTTATATGGAACTAGCACTATTTAGAATAGCACTCTATATCGAGACTAGAAATATACCTTCTGCTCTTCAGCTAGTTTTAATACAGTTTCATCTACCTTCTTTTGTTCCAAGGCTGCCCTCTCATTCTGCCATGTGAAAACAATTTATGAATATTTTTTATTTATTTAGCTAAAAAGGAACATGACAAATTCACAAAATCATTTGTTTTGTTTATCTTACTCAAAATTCCAGGGAAAATAACAGGCATTACATACCATCATCTTTTCGTGCTGAATTTTTTTTGTCTCGGCCTCATTTTGAGCCTCCCGTTGGAACAATTCCTTCTCACGCTGCTCTAGTTCTCTTTGCTGATATTGAAAATGCTGCGCAATCCTCTCATGCTCTAAGAAAATTTTCTTGAAATGGTCATGAGCATTCTGCTGCATCCTTTTGGATTCTGCACATAATATATACTATAAGCCATTGGCAACTACAATAGCAGTAATTGTATTTAAATCCAATTTAGAAACTAAGGTTGTAGCACACCTTCATTATAAGCTTTGATCATGTCCTCCCTCTGCTGAATCAATGTACTCCTGGAGCTAGTTGCCTCATTATATTTGTTCTGCATTTCCTGAAGGCGTAGGTTCTTTGTTTCCAATGTATTGGTTAGAGTTTTCACCAGCTTCGATGTCTTCCTTTTATCTTCGGCTTCTTTGCTTGAAACTGTCTTCAGGTCTCCCTTCCTACGAAGATATTTGCCTATCAGTCCTTCTGAATAGAAGTCGTCTTCACGAGCAACCCATGCATACAATTTGTCTTTCCTCCTCCTGGACGAATAGTAATCCCTCTTTCCATAGTGACCCAAATCAAAACTCTTCTCAAACATGATGGCGTTATTAAAGCCATCCCACTCTTTGTTGAACTCTACTATGGCAAATCCCGAATGACCATGTTTTCCGTTCCAAAGAGGATGAACCTTCAAAGGGTTAAATCCTTTTTCCGCCAAATCCTCCTTCAGTTTCTTTCCACTATCTGCTACATGTTTTCCATCATGCACAATTGTTGGAATATTCGCAACAATTCCCATCCATGGATGAACAAACTTCTCATCATACATCTGATCATCAAGAAATAAACAAAGAAACATCTTTAAGTATGTAAACAATTAGGAAGTTGGTGAAGATATAATGAAAAGTAAAACAATCAAATTCCATGACATCTCCCTCACATCATCCAAGGAATCGGATTTGGTCGTCATCCCGCACATACTTACATTTGAAGATATTAGCATCTCTGGTCACCCACTGGGCCCTCAAAAATTTGTCACTCCTATGTGCATCTCTTTTGGTTCAAACCAATGACTTTTCACTAAAAATAGTCCTTTTTGCAACAGAAGTACCTAACTCAAAGTCATAATATTGCTTTAAAACCCTCAGCAGGTGAAATCCTATATTCATAATTAAGGTAATACACATCTTTAATAAACTGTCCAAAGTTCCTTAAAATGCTAAAAAGATTCCAAAAGGTTACCCAATTGAAGAAAGAGAGAATTTAAACAGTACAAACCATCTCTAGGCCTCAATTTCTTATAAACTATATGCATACACACACAAAAAGATTTAGGACAAAGCACATATTCAGCAAACAAATACACAAAACAATGCATAGCTACAGCATCAACAAACTTAAATCTAGTTGTCATCACATTTTAAACCAGCAATTGACAAAGATATTAAGTTAGATATTACAGAACTTTTCAACTAACAAAAAAGGAAAAAAACAGATAGACATCAACGTTAAAACTTGTTTGGTTAGCAAGAAAATTGGAGAGAAACAATCAGACGAGTGAAAATAAAATAAAACAGATCAGACAACAAATAGATAACACATAAACAAGAGGGATAGAAGAAAACTTTTCTTATCCAAAAACAAAAACACAAAATTTTGGGTCATTCTGCTTGACACTTTCCTTAGTTTCCTCGTTAAAGCCAAACACAGCACATCAATATACATATCTTAAACAAAAAAAGTTAAGTATTAGCAAAACAAAACTGAAATTATGCATCGAGATTTTCCTTTACTTTCTCATTAAAGCCAAACAAAGAAAACAGAAAAGTCACCGTGCTAATGAAAAGAAAAGAGAGAAAACACTGGACCTGTGCGTTGATGTTTTCCTTTTCACTTTCTCGCTATAGTAAGCGGAGCAAGCATATATAATGCACTCAGGACCGGAACGCCCTTAAATTATTGGGCCATTGGCCCTAGGGATGGCAATGGGTCGGGTCGGGTTTTTGGGCCACTCGACTCGAGAAGAAAGGGTCCTCCACCCGTGACCCGACCCGACGAAATTAAGGTTTCACCCGACCCGACCCGACCCGAATATATGACTTAGAAATCCGACCCGAAATAATAAAAAAATATTTTTATTCAATAAAAATATTGACTTAATTGAAAAATATATATATATAGTGATATTATTATAATTATCCCTAAATATATAGGGTACAATTATATATATTTTTGGGTCGGATCGGGTCGGATTTTTTCCATCCTAAACCCGACCCGAACCTGAATTTTTTAAAAAAAAATCCAACCCGATCGGGTCGGGTTCGGGTTGAGTTGCCATCCCTAGTTGGCCCTTCCAAAAATTTTAAAAAGGCTTAAACATAAAATAAGTGTCCAAAATATAGTGTTTTCACGAATAAGTGTCTACATTTTTTTTTGAATGATCTTAATGCCTAACGTTACTACTTTAGGTGTACGGGTCGTAAACTCGTTAATTAACTCTGTTAAGTAACACTTGTCGCCCTCAGATAATTTTGAAAATTTTATTTTAAAAAACTCAAAATTTTCAAAAATCTTAAAAACTACCCCCGAACTTTGAAAACCCTAATTTTAGTCCCTATACCCATGCTTGTCGTCATCCGCCGCGCCGTTGTTGTCAAATGGACTTCCACCTGGCCCTCGCCTCCACCAAATACATGTTCCCCATTGACAAATCGCCATAACAATAGTCGAATACCCCTAAAATCGCGACGAAATCTATCCCGATGAATGCACGAAACAGCGACCATCGCGAAGACCACAATAACTCCACAACAAGGACGATATCGATCGACTAAGGAGATGGCAATGGAGGTGTTGGAGGCGGTAGCCGTGGCTGCAAAAGGAGGTGGAGTTAGTGTTATTGTTAGGTTTTGAGGATTTTAGGGTTTTTTTGTAATTTTATATAAAAAATATGGTTTTTTTTATAAATATAATAATATTTTTTAATTTAAAAAATTCAAATTATCATTATGTGACACATGTTACTTAACAATAAAAACTAACGACAATTACGTTTTGAACACCTAAAGTGATAACGTTTGTCGTATTAGGCACTGAGGTCATTCAAAAAAATTGTAATCACATATTTGCGAAAAATACACTATATTTTTGGCACTTATTTTATATTTAAGCATATATATATATATATATATATATATATATATATATATATATTATTAAATTTGGCCACTTTAAGAGATGTGTATAATAAATTATTAAATATGATTATCCTAGAGATCTATTAATTGCTTGAGTAGTCAATGATACTCATATTGTCTCACATTTTATAGGTTTGAATCTCGATATTTATATTATAAATATAATATCTCTACTTAATAAAAAAGTAATTGCCTCAAAAAAATTTGTATATTACTTTAGAATTTGAAAACCAATTAAATATTAAAAACAATTAATATTCATTTTCTTTTGTAATTTTTTTCAAAATACAAAACATTATGTATTTTTCCTTCTTTGGTTGTTATCTTCTTTGAGTTGATGAGTTCAATAAATTATAAAGTGTTTCATCTAAGTTGAAGATAAATTTTTAAAAAATATTTTTTAATTCCATAAACATTTGTGATTTTATTTTAAATATATCTATTTATTATGTATGCTCATAAATTTTAATCTTTAAAAAAATTACACATACATGTATGCACGTGCACACACATACAACTCCTATGTCTCCGGTTATTGAGGTTGAAAACGTTAATATTCCGTTCATAAAATGTGATTTTGAGTTACATAAGTCCATGTAGGAATATCTAGTTAATAAACCAGATAAAATTTAATTTGACGTGCATGTTCATATCAAATATATTCCTCTAATTATCTATTTTCTCAAGAAAAACATGATATGTGTTATTAATATTCTCGGTTTACTCAAAAAAATTAAATGTCCCCCCATAAAATAATGTTGAGGTCCGTCACTATCTGTCATTACACAAAATAGTGGGTAATCGTATTCTATGAATTGTTTATTGAACTTAAGTTTAATGTTTTCTTTTGGGAACTTAGTGTAAAGTAAGGATGTGTGTCAGTGTGTAATTGTGTTCATGTGACATAAAAAGACAACTATACGTCACCAAAATGAAGAGGATGCTTCTTAGAAAAATCGTTCCAAGCAAGAAATGCTTGAGCTTAAGGAGCTGGTGAAAAAATCACATGAAAATTAGTTTAGGCGAATTACTAAGATGGTATTTGTTAATTTAATGATGCGTATTTTATTTGTTTTTTAAATCTCATTTTTATAAATTATTGTTAGTGTGTATAGTTTATTCATGAAACTATAAGCATGAATTAATGAATAGTGATATTTCTATATATTAAATTAAAGATGAAGAAGTTAACTGCGATGCTCAAACAATAGTTGAAAAGGAGAGAGTGACACATAAAAAGGATGAAATACATGCTAAGTTTGTCCATAAGGCGTCAAATGAGAAAATCCGCAAGCTTAGGGAGGATATAGAAAGAAAAAAACTAAGGAAGAAAAAGGAGTTCCACAATAGAAAATCCAAAATCGAATGTATCATCCTCTAACTTTGTTATTGACGCAACTGTAAAAATTATCATCCAAATTTATAGAGCTATTAGTAATGTTGCATGCTCAAAATTATTGACATGAATGAAACAGACCGAGAATAGAGTTTCAAAACAAAGGGACATATACATTTTAATGATGATTTATTGTGAGTCATAGTGGATACATGAGCTATATGCTTAGATTGGAGACATTATACTTTGTTTTAAGAATTTTATAGGATAGTTTATGAGACATTTAATGCATTATGCATGATCAGTTAAATTTAGGGATTAAAAGTTTAAATAGTTAAGAATATTCTAGATTAATATAGAAATAGTAGAGGTATAGAAATATCCACATAGTAATCTAGATATTTGTATTATTTAATATTATGTCTAAAATTATCTATTAGAATAAACTAAGGTGGCGTTTGGTTCGCAGGAATTCCCTGGAATTAGGGGGAATTGGAATCCAATTCCACCACTTTCCCATGTTTAGTTCAAGTTTTCAAAGGGAATTGAAATCCTAAATGACTTCAACTTTCAATCAAGGGAGGGAAAAAGAGTGAAAAAGAGAGAAAAGAGTGTACCTAGACTAACTTTTCCCTCATTCTTTTTTAAGGCAAAAATATTAAAATTATAATTAGGATTCTTGAAATTTTCAAAAATTTTAATTTGTCTCCTTCAAAATTTTTAGAAATTTATATTAAACTTTATTTTTTTTAATGTTCTTAATTAAACCTCATCCTATATATTTTTTTAAAATTCTCATTAAGACTTTCAAAATTTCAAGATATTTAGTTAGACCCTAATTTATTGGAGAAAAAAATGTAAACTAAACCCTTCAAAAAAATTTAAATTAAACCTCTGAATTTTTAAAGTTTTAACTTTCATCTGCACAATATGCACTCTTATTTTAGGTTGGTAGTCGTCTGCAATTTTTAGTCGTGTTATATGACTTCCCGAGTGTATGATAAATTAATATACTCGTGATTCAGAGATATATGTGGGTTATGATTTTTGAATCAAGTCGAGAAGTAGATGGGTAAACAAAAGAGTTATGTAGGGATATTGAGAGAGCGATTTGTTTCGGAGGATAATACAATGGGATCCATAGGAGTAAGTAGAAGATAGAGAATGAATATTTAGAAAATTGTATATACGGCGGATTCTATTTTACTCTTTGACAGTAAATAAATTTTGGACCGACTTAGAAACAATATTAATTACCTTAATAATATGGTAATTATATCAAGTCTCTATTGTTCATCCCAACACGAAGATTAAATGTTATTTCTGCTAGTTTAAATAAGAGAATTATGTTCACTTTCTATTAGTTATACAAATCTTAGCAAAAATAAACTCTATTTCTCTTATCAAATTCAAATCAAATTTATAGGAAAATCCAATTGGAGTGAACTTTAACATAATTATATGGATTCGTGCTTTGTAAAAATCTTATAAACTAATGTTAAATCGATGATAAAATATGCATTTATACATTCTTTCTAACTTTTTAGATGTTGGATTTTTTTTATTAGTGTGTGGTGTTTATAAGATTGTATAATTCAAAATCGTTTTTAGTTATTGACAATATATATACACTCTAAAGATGTTGTTTAAACATATAACTTCTGCTCTCTCTTTTTATCATTAAGATTGCTTAATAATTTCAACTCTTTAGATGTTATTTTGTAAATATGATTTTTTTATTTAATAAATTATTTGATTTCCTTATGAGAATGACATATATTTTTATCACTCTTGTAATTAGTTTTATCTTATTTTTTTTTATTTTTTTTATTTTATACATAATTAAATTGTTTACGCATTTGTAGTTGACTTTTAGTGATCAATGTCCGTAGCTGTATAGATGTATTAAGTATGAATTGTAATAAAATTATTTGTCAATATATTATCATATTCTATTTTTTATTAATATTTTATTATTATATAAGTGTTGATGATATTTATTTTTTATATAATCTTATTTTATGAAATAATTTTATTATATTTAAAACAATTAAATCATTATAATTAAAAAAGATAAAACTAATAAATTTGTATACTTAAGAAATAAACTTATAAACAAATATTTTTGACACACTTTATAAACAATCTTGTCACTTAAAAATCTTATCACATTAAACTTAATTATCGTAATTTTTATTTTATTTTTTAATTTTCAATAAGTATGATGATTATTTATTTAAATTTTAATATGGGTAGACTATGCAAATAGTTCCCTATGTTTCGGTCTGACTGACTTTGGTTATCAATTTAAAAATTAAGGGGAAATGGTCCCTAATGTTATAAATCCATTCAATTTTAGCCCATAATGTTATTGATTCGTTCGATTTTAGTCCCTCAGTCGTAAACTCCTGTTCAATTTTAGTCCCTCAACCATGTTAGAGACTTAAACAAAATAGGGTTAACAAAAATTAATAGTAGAGGAACGTAAACCCAACAGACCGATAATGTGAGGGACCATTTACTCTTAATTTTTAAATTGGTTACCAAAGTCAATCATACCCTAAACAAAAAGGACAATTCACATAGTTTTCCATTTTAGTATTATCAATTATAAAGGGTAAACTTCTGAATTGATTATTTTCTTTATATTTGTACATATTTAATCATCAAATTTTAAAAAAATACATTTCAATCACTTATATTATCGACTTATTAAATTTTGATAATGTATGTTATTTTTTTTTATAATTTGGTCACTGAATCGTTAACTCATATTAGTTTGATGTCGTGAATGTTATATTTTTAATTTGATCATAAACTTTAGATGAAATATTATTTTGACTCCTAAACTTTAGACTAAACATCAATTCGACATCGACTGATATTATTGTCGATTGTTATACCTTAAAATTTTCAATTCATTCATTTTTGACCTTTTAAATGTGAATATGATATTCGTTTCACCAAAAAATATCTAGAACTTAATAAATCTAGTTATAATCCTTCGACTTCCTTTAAAATTAAATCATAATAATAATTTTATCATTAGTATTCATTTAAAAATATGGACATGAAAAATATAAATTTACATCATAATCAAATGCATGATTTTATAGTTTATAATATTATTATGTTATATTTTTAAAAGTATAAAAACATTTTTTTATTTGGGGTAAACTATCGAATTAAAGCGGCATGTTTACTATTTACAAATATTAGAAACTTATAATTAATATTATAAACATTATAAAAAATATAAGATAACAATATTTTAAACAATATTTTTATTATTCTGGTTTAATTTTAAAGGAAATCAAAGGAATTTGGGCTATATTTATTGAGTCCAATGCATTTTTTAGGTCCAATAGTTGTTGATGATGGCAATCGATATCGATTAACGATGAAAGACGGTGACAGTGGTGAGTGGTTGCGAGGACAAAAATTTTTGCTCAAATTCATGAGTTAAATTGATATTTTATCCAAAATTTAGGAATTAAAATAATATTTTATTTAAAATTTAAGGTCGAATTAATATATCATCTAAAAATTTAGGGACTAAATTAAAGCATAATCCCTTTTGACTAACATATAACATCACATCAAAATATAATAATCAATGACATAAGTAAGTTGCAAAAATTTATAAATTTTTAAAATTTGATAAGTAGAAGTGTACAAAAATAAAAGAAAAATCAAATTGATAATTAACCTACACTTGAATCCGTGATAAATAATTACAATATGATTCAAATAGATAATTTTCAAACGTAGTTTTTAAAGGGGCAGTCGTAATCGAAGTCATCAAATTTGGGCAGTCGAAAGGTGGTCCAATTCGGTGCAATTTGCCAAAAGTAGTCGTAAACTGGATATTATCGGACTCAATGGTCCCAACTACCTATTGGTTCAGCCACGTTGCCAGACTTGACCTCTCGTTTTATTTGTTTATTAATAGTAATTTCCGAAGTAATGCTTAAACATATCAATTACCGATCAGTAATTTTCAGCTGGCATATTTATGTATAATGATTAGAGAATAAGTGGTAATTAAGTGATCAAATACTGTCGGAGCCAATCCAATAAATGGATAATTTGGTCCCACGCATTTCCATGGGAAAGCAACCTTAGAAATTGGGGAAAGTTTGGATAAAATCTTCAGTTTTGTTTATTTTCATCTTCTTCATCTACAGCACTTAATTAATCATATTAATTTGTAATTAATTTTTAGAATAAAATATACAAATGGTTCCGACTATAAAAAATTGTCTTATTGAGTCTTTCAACTATTAAAAATTATGAAATGATGCATTGACTATAATGCATTACTTTGTTGAGTCACCCGACTATTAAAAGTTACAAAATGATCACCCGACTATTCATATATTCCAAACTCGTCTTTTTTTTGTTAAAAAATCGACGACAATCTAAGATGGACAATAACTTGTTAATTGTGATCTGAAAATTATGACCACAAAATCTCAAACGACTATTATATCTCAGTCAACAGGTTAATGTCAAACTCAAACTATCATCAAATTTTCAATGAAAAATGAGGAATTTGTAACATATGAATAGTCATGTGACTATTAATAGTCGATGGATCTAACAAAACAACATCTTATAGTTTAGGACTATTTTTACTAGTTTGATACTCAATAAAATAATAGCCTATAAACAAATGACCATTTAAATACTTGACCCTAATTTTTATTTAGATCATTAAATAAATAATCAAGGATGCTAATAATATACAAATTATATCACTCTAAAATTCATGGGACAAACCGTGAACAATTTATAGAGCAAATGTTAAAAACTCTCGCTCTCTTCTCCCTAAATCGTAGATTTAATGTTAAGGGGGCAAATATGGATTTATCCATTAACAATGCAAAATGTGGTGACAAATACCAAATCCTAAACTCCAACAACAGCTCTACAGAATTCCAATAAAACCCATCTGAAAATGGCAATGGGACCCCTCTGCCTTCTCGTACTGCCCGGTTCCTACACTTCTCTGCTCGCAATATCTCATAGCCTCGTGATTTCCTCCTCTTTTTTCATAAATCAATTAATTAATCGCTGCCCAAAACGACAATTTCAAAGTTCAAACCAAACCCAAAACTAGAAATCTTTTAACAACATTAAAAAAATACATCATTATGCTTTGTTTTGTTTTTTATTAATCAACCCCGGTTCGTTGATTTCCAACTCTTCGCCATCTCCCAATTGACCTTAGAAAAGTTTGTGGGAACTATTTCTTTTTTTCATTTTGGAACTGTGGATCTCGTTAACATATGAAGTGTTTTCATTTTACCAACGGCGAAGGCCGTGACGGGGGAGAGGAAAGCGGTGGCGGCGGCGTTTCTAGGGCGTCTTCGAAGGTGACGTGGACAAGGTCATTAAGCGTTGCATCAAGCAGCGTCGACACGCGTCGTTCCGAGTTCGATTCAGAGTCGTCTAGGGACTTTGCGTCGGCCGTGAGTTTCTGCGAGTTCCTGACTCAGCGTCGAGCTAACGATCTGCGTGTCTTCACATTCGCGGAGCTGAAATCAGCTACGCGCGGGTTCAGCAGAACCCTTCTGATAGGTGAAGGAGGGTTCGGTTGCGTTTATAGAGGCGCCGTGAAGGTTTCCGATGAAGCTAACGGCGGACGTGATTCAAAGTTGGACGTCGCCATTAAACAGCTCAATCGTCACGGTTTCCAGGCATATTCCCGTTTTACCCCTCTTTGTTTTCCAATTTTACGCTCATTTACTTATCTGTTTGAAAAGCGTAGTCGTGCCTTTGAACTGTACAATGCAGTAGTACAAATTAAGGAATGTCAAATCATTAAAATTAAGGAATCGTACATTAGGCTTTTGTAACATGAGAATATCTTGATTTGTTGTTCTTCACAAACGCCATTTTAACATGTTGATTTCCTTAAATCTTGAAGGGATTAAGCGTCGTTTTATTTGTTGTTTAACATCTCTAGGGATTTGGAATGTCTTGATTTCCTAGTGTTCAGGGGCACAAGGAATGGATCAATGAAGTGAACCTATTAGGCGTAGTTAAGCATCCGAATCTTGTTCGATTAATCGGGTACTGTGCTGAGGACGACGAGAGAGGGATTCAAAGACTTCTAGTCTACGAGCTTATGCGAAACAAAAGCTTGGAGGATCGACTTTTGGCTCGGACCACACCACTGCCGTTACCTTGGGTGACAAGGTTGAGTATTGCTCAAGACGCTGCTCGGGGTTTGGCTTACCTACATGAAGAAATGGATTTCCAGGTACTGTTCTGTTCCCTCGAATTGTTTCAATCCGTAAGCGAATTGTGGGATTGTCTTGTGATTATGTCTTGCTTCACGATCGCAGCTAATATTTCGAGACTTTAAAACATCGAATATTCTACTAGATGAGGACTTCAATGCGAAGCTTTCGGACTTTGGACTGGCTAGACAAGGACCTACCGAAGGATGTGGGCATGTTTCAACAGCAGTAAGTTGACTGCCTTTATCTATGAACTATATGATCCTAATGTTCCTATTGGTTGTCTTGTTATAGATTTACTTATGTCTTTGAAACTCAGTTCTTGCATATGTAAACAAATCAACACTTCACCCCTTTCGGTGTTTTGAAAATGTTTGTAAGGTTGTCGGCACGGTAGGTTACGCTGCCCCAGAGTATGTGCAAACCGGCAGGCTAACTGCTAAGAGCGATGTTTGGAGCTTCGGGGTGGTTCTATACGAGCTCATCACAGGAAGACGAGCGCTAGAAAGAAATCTACCTCGAAGCGAGCAAAAGCTCCTCGAATGGGTGAGACCTTACATATCAGATTCAAAGAAATTTCACCTTATCATAGACCCTCGCCTCGAAGGACAGTATTGCATCAAATCATCTCGGAAACTAGCATCCATGGCAAACAAATGTCTGATGAAAAACCCTAAATCCCGCCCCAAAATGAGCGAAGTGGTCGAGATGCTAGGCAACATCATTAGCGAGACTTCATCTCAATATGAACCGGCCTCTCGATCAATAGGCGAAAACGAAGACACCAAGGAAGAAAGTGAAGTGGAGACCGAGGTCAAGTCCACGAAGCAAGGACACAATTACTTGAAGAAGGTGTTTGATATAAAAGAAATAATTAGCTTACGAAACCGATCGGTTGGGAAGTTAGATTGGAGAAATTGGACGCCGGGGTTGGTGAGAACTTGGTAACGGCGAACTTTCCGTGTCGGACTATCTGAATCAAAGAGAAACACGCACTACGAATATGATATGTTTAGTTCTTCAAACATTTAAACAATAATTTATTTCTTTCTCCAACTCTTTTTGTTGAAAAGTTGTAAATATGGTTTTTGCAAAGAAAAGATGCATTTGGTTCATATAAGCTCTTCTTTTAGTCAAGGTTTTTGAAGCATAAAGTTCATTTGTTTTTCATTGCTTAGTTGAAGTAAAACTCACTTCTCATGTTCGATTTTTGCTCGACGTTCAATAGTAAACTCAATTCTCATGTTCGATTTGTTGTTTAATTTTATGTTTGAAATTAGATAGTAAACTCGAGTCTCATGTTAGGTTATTTGCAGGAGGCTTGAGCTAAAAGAATGAATAAAAGGAATTAAACACCAAGAACCATGGCTATGAACTTGCAGTTGTATGGGGAAGACTAGTTTTTGAGTTACAGCAGCTTAAACAAATTGTACACTAAGGGGGTGTTTGGTTCAAAGATTATGGGATTCTCATTCCATGGGAATCCCACATTCCCATGTTTAGTTGGTCGGAAATATAATTCCCGGTAATGTTTTATTACAAATAGTAGATTTTTTGGAGTATATTACCGGGAATGTCATTACATTCCTTCCCTTATGTATTGTAACATTACCGGCGTTTTGAACTAAATGGCTGTCCCTTTTTCCCATATATATGGGGTTAGGGGGAGGTAAGATAGTAGGCTACCACCAACACTAGGTTGAGAACAATTTCCGTAAGAGAGACCTCCGAATTATGAAATGCCCTCCGTGGGACTCGATCCCACGACCTCAAGGTTTTTGACTAAAATGTCTTTAAATTTTTATTTTTTTAAAAAAAAATATCATTTTTCTGTCATTGAATAATAAAAATTTTACGAAGGTTAAATTACACATTTATCTTTAAATTATTTTAGATTTACAAAAAAAAAATCTATAATTAAAATTTTATATAAAATTCAGGGGTTAAAATTTTTTTTACCCTTTCATTAAATCTTTTTTATATTTTTAATTTTGTAAAAAAATATATATAAATATTGTGAATATAATTTTTTAAAGAAAATATATAAAATTTTACAATTTATAATATTATACAAATATATAATAAGAACAATTTGGTCAAATATACATTCCAATAATCTTTTATTCATTTAACGATAATCTTATATTCATGCTAAATCAACTAAACACAAAATACAACATTCTCATTAATCCTAACCAAACGCACTCTAACAGGTTATAAAATGATGAATACTCAAGTTCTGGAGATTTTCAGAACCACTCGAAATGTCATTTGAACTGAATCGGCTTTGATTTTCAGGCATAAAGAGGTGAAGCATATGGACGGGGGTATGCCGTACTACTTACTCCGTTAGCATCGTTTGCACTTCGCCTACGTATACGAGGTGTGCCACTGGTATTGTTCTGATTACTTTTGGATTCATTTGAACCCTGGAGCTGCTCCAATACTGTTACGACTTCACTCATTCTTGGTCTGAATTTGGGATCGGTCGAAATGCATCGCAACGCAAGGGTAGCAGCCTTATAAGCTCCTTCCATTGAATACTGGCCTTCGAGACGGCTATCCAGGACACGGAAATATTTTCCGTTTGTTGGCTAGGTAAGGTTTGGCCCAGTCAACCAGATTATGCTCTCCGGACGGTCGATTCTTGTCAACTGCTCTGCGGCCAGATAACATCTCTAGCAGCACAACTCCGAAACTATAAACATCACTCTTGGCAGTCAAATGACCTACAGTTAAGAGTAATAGAGAAAATAAATAAAACAAACATCAAGAAAAGCGCCGGCTTCAAAGGTCTACCGAAACTGAGGAAAAGTGAAGCAACTACTTGAAGAATATGTTAATCAGTACCGGTGGCTAAATACTCGGGTGCGGCGTATCCGTAGGTCCCCATGACCCTAGTCGAAACATGGCTCTTATCACCTGTTGGCCCATCTTTAGCCAATCCAAAGTCAGAAAGCTTTGCGTTGTAGTTCTGCAATGACATCAGCGGGAAAACAGAGCATTGTTTTCAGAAAAGTCGGCCAAGTACGAAGGTTGATGGAAATTATGGAGTTGGCTTATCAAGTCACATACCGAATCGAGCAAGACATTGGAAGTCTTGAAATCTCGATATATCACTTTAGTTTCAGCACTGTGGAGAAAGGCAAGCCCCTTGGCAGCACCAAGAGCGACCGTCATCCGAAGGCTCCAAGAAAGCGGTTGGAAATAGGATCCTCCTGGTACAGACAATAAAATGCCATGCCGGTTAAGCCGAATTTTGTTCGATAACACCAAGAGATTCAAAGAGAGAATTTACTCCTGAATAAATGATTCTCCAAGCTGCCGCGAGGCATGAACTCATACACCAACAGGCGGTGTTCATCCTCCAAGCAATATCCGATCAATTTCACAAGATTTGGATGATGAAGTTGTCCCAGATAATTCACCTCAGCCTATAAGATTGAAGAAAGATCGTGCATTAATCTCTGCATTTGAATACCAAAATATCATCTTAAGCAATCAGGTTAATTAATAGGAATAAATTGTTGGTACATGGAGCAGATAATTAAACTATATCATAAAATGAACAAATGCGAAACCAGTCAGATAGTCCAGGAACGATCAGATGAAAATGAACTCACCAGCCACTCCTTGTGACCTTGAAACCCTTCCTGATTAAGCCTTTTGACGGCAATAACTAAGCCGGTTCCGGGTTTTGAAGCTGTGAATGAACTTTCATCGATCCATCCCTTAAACACGGAGCCAAAACCACCTTCTCCAAGCACACTATCGGGACGGAAATTCCTAGTGGCCATTTTGAGATTAGCAAAAGTGAAGCTTTTCAAATTGGTGGACTCTAATATCTCACCCTCACTTCGAGGTGTCAGAGCCACCGACACTGACGATACTTTGCTGCTTGTACTGCTCGTGTCTTTCCCCTCACCGCTATCATAGTTCGAACTCAACCCTGTACGACGCATTAGTTAAGCGACATAGATGATTGAAATATTTTCATTATTATCCTATGCTCACAACAACAAATCTCACTACCCGATATGAAGTTCAGGGGAACCATGATGGGACCAACTAAGTATAGAATGGTGTTCATTAAAGGCTGTCTTCAGAAAGAAAAAATATATATATATTACCTGTGTTACTGGGGATCTCAGCTTTGATTCTAGCACTTAAGCAAATCCCCATCAGATCAAGCCACCACTCTCTTCAACTCTTTACACCTATAGGTCATTAAACACATGCACAAAGAATGAGCCTTTTTAAACTAAAAGAAACAGAATTCCGTAAGGGAAAACAAGCAGATCTGGGTTTCGAAAGCCAACCCAACACAGAATCAAAGCAGACCAAGCAGAAAGGATATAAGAATCTAAGGGGGGAAAGGCCTAGGGAGAAAGAAGATAGTAGCAAAAAGCTTGAATTTTGGTTTATTGATGGCAGTAGTGTGGGTAAAATATGAATATAATGATGATGGCTGCAAAGGAAAAGAGAAAAAGAGTTGTTTTTTTTTTCTAGAGGAAGGTGGGAAGAATTGTATTAATGGTAGGATGGAACCTTTTTCTCAAGCTTAGCATTTTATACTTCTCTCCCTCCCTCGCTGTGTAGTTTGTACACTTGTAAAGAATCTATCAACGGGGAAGATAAGCCTTTAAAGCTTTGCACAGTTGCTTCCCATCAATTCCTAGCCGTTGGATCCTTTTAAATCTGTGGCTTAGCTTCCCATAGAAATAGCTTTCTTTCATAGCTGGCTTCCTCTGCAAGATAAATGAACATCTATTTGAAAAATGAAAATAGAATGCCTTTTTAATGGATAAATTACTTTGGGTCGTAACTTTTAGGTCCCTGATGGAAGGAAGAAACAGTGTTTCAATGGACGACGGTCACCATTGCATAGGATGAATCCAGGAAACTCCCATGGCTACCTTTCATGTTCATTGATCTTCTTCCATCAATCATTTTACTTTTCTTTATTATTACTACAACGGTGATACTTCTAATTTCAGCTACTGATTTGATCGACTTTAGTTTCCAAGAAAATTTTCAGAGCTTTTGACACTTTTTAAATGTGATAAAATTGATAAGAGTTTTAATTTAGTTTATTTATATTATTTAAAAAATTATAATAAGGATATATTTATAAAAACCATATATATTTTTTTATATTTTTATTAAAAAGTATTTAAAACAACGTTATTGATCAAAATGACATCTTTTTATAAGGTATAGCTATATAGAAGTATCTTTTAAAACTATACATTTTAGATGCCTTCATCTATATGACAGATCACCCAGACCATCTATTCAATATTGAAATCACTCATAACTAAAATGAATAGATATAAATATTATTATCGACGAATGATAAATATGATCAACATTAATATAAAAATACATATAACAATAATGATATGATAATAAATTAATTTTATCATAATTAAATTATTACTTCTATGAGATAATTACAAACATCTATATATAAAATAACTAATCTAAACAATAAAAATACACATAGATCAATAAAATGAATGAAATAGAAAATAATATAAAAAATTTGGATGAACGTAAGGATGGGTATGAGTCGGGTTTTCAGCTTACCCGACCCAACCTTAAAACTAGATCTCCTCAACCCGAACACGACCTAAGTTTAAAGTGATTTCATGTCGAGTTTCTAAGATAAAACGCGAATCGAACACAAGTCGAAATAAAATATATTTATAAAAAATTATTAATTTTATTTAATAAAATGGGAAACTAATTAAAAAAATAATGTAAAGAGAAATATTATTATAATTATATATAAATATATAAGATAAAATTATATTATTGTTTGAGTTGAATATTTTTTATTCTAAATTCAAATTTAAACCAAACTTGATTTTTTTTAAAAAATCGATCTAATCAAATCATATTGATACTCACGAGATTCGAATCTTGTATTCATCCCTAGATGAAAGACTAGGATTTCTGAAATTTTCGAGTTGACTTTCATCAACTAAATATTTTTTTATCATGTATCTTATAATTTTTTATTTAAAAATATTAAATTGATGATAAAGCTGATATTACTAGAAAAACTAAGTAACAGTAGTTCTTACTTTTAATTTAGTCCAAGTTGCACCTCAGATGACGTATGATCTTCTGTATTGCTTGCGGTAGCATCCAAGCCATAACAGATCCCAACCGTACGATTTAAAGACATTTTGTCACCAAAATCATTCAAGTAGCACTCCACATGTGCTGGCTCGATGTTTAACGAGGCTCGGCTTCAAAGTGGCTTTACTGTTCATTTGTTGAGCTTTGAGCCAAGATGGTGGGGAATCCTGCCGTCAAACTATCAATTTTTTTGATATTTATTTTCAAATGCAACATAAACACTCAAATAAGGTCCAATTTGTAAATTTATATTTAAACCTAAAAATTTTATCTAACCGATTCATTAATAAAAAAAGAATATTATTCTTTTTAAAGATTTAGATTCGAATGTTTATACGTGCACAACTATTTGAAAATTTTCCTAACTACATCTAACATGAACAACTAGATCTGTAAGATATGTGTAAATTGTCAATGACTAAAAAATATTTTTTTTATTAATCAGAAGTAAATACAAGATAATATTTATTTAAAAATAGCTCTCAAATATTTGATATTAAACGTGCACACCCTTGACATTCATGGTGTTCTAACTCGAGATCTTAAAAAATAATATGAATACTTTTTTTAAAATATTTAATATAATTAATTAATTAAATTGTGTGAATGAATTTTTGGATGCATGTAGAAGATGCATGTGAACAAGTTTTGTATGCCGAACTCTATAGGGAGCCCAAGTGTTTGCATTTGGTGGGGTTTGAACCCATGTTATACATTTGGGATATTCGTGGACAATATGGTATCACTTAGTCTAGCCTTAGTACGTGGTCAAATTTCGCCAAGCACAAAGTCTTTAGTTTTGTTGGTGAGTAGGCATGTTCAAGAATCCAAGGCGCTCTCCACTCCCAACGACTCTCGAAGTTTAAGACACATAATTTTTAGGCTTTACTACGGGCAATATAAATTACTGAGGGATTCATGAGTACCCATCAACGCCTCTCGCATTTCATTTTCTTAAAATTTAAACACCACCATGTGTTCAGAGTTTTTTAAACAACAAAGACACTTTGAAAGAAGCTTCTAGGCTACATGCAGCAGGCTACATATGAACAGAGTAAAGGGGCAAAAAAAAAATTACATGTCTATCAATTACTACAAAGTCTTAACCTTTGAGGAGCCTGGCCGTTGTATGAATTGTCCGATCAAAGATAATATGAAACGTGCGATCACCGCTGAAACAAAGACAATTAGGGATGGAATATGATATAGAAAATGCTGGTCAGTATGAAACCAGGCGTTTAATAAATGTGGTCAATCAAATCCGATGTGAAATGTCTTCAAAACATTGCTTGACTACTTTTGCTGGCTATTAGGGATAAAAATGCAGCAGCCCAATCTTGTCTAGTTGATTCAGGCACCGGTTCATTCCCAAGGACGGCAGTCCAGTAGTCCGCACAGGCATCGGTCAGTAACCAATCAACTTTCTCTGGCACATTAACGAAATCAAAGTTCAAAGGCTTCGGTTTTTTATCAGGCTTGTTCTGTTTGTTTCCCAAAGAATTCCCTGTAGACTGCAGAACACAATTTAAGCATTCACTGAAAGCCCGGGGGGATAAGAAGTAAGGAATCAGACAAATATTCAACGTTTTCAACCAAAATGGCTTTTTGTTTCCGACTTACAAGTCCTTCACTGCTTGAAGCATCAGATCCTTTCTTCCGTTTATATGGGGTAGATCCAGTTTCTAGAAAGTAAAGAACTTCTTTCTTAGATCTGAATTTTCGGCCCGACGATGGTTCGACATAATACTGCAGAAAAAATGTTATCATGTATGTTTTTACTATCACCACATAGCCTATAATCTCCTTACATGAAAATATGAGGAGCGTACGTTGTAGGCGCACAATAAACATAAAATACACCATAAACGAAATGAAAATTCCCATGTTCCATAATTTTCTATAACCCTCTAAAGCCAAAAACTAGTCCCCGAACAACGCAGCATTGCCCAAAGTAAAATCTGTTCAACTTCTACTGAGATATTCCTCCACCAGATTTTCATAAAATTCATCTCATTGCAGCGATAGAATGATGAAAGCTCGTATATGTCTTTATGCAACCCCAACATTTAGCCCTCTCCATGTGCAGACAGGACAAAAATTTTGTCAATCAATTGAGTTTTAATAAATTTCTTTCAGAAGAATTGTTTCTATACCCCACTGTTACGTACGTGTTAAAAAATCAATAACGCTAAGATGTCTATACAATACAACTAATCAAACATTTGGTTTGCCTGGGCTTGATTATAGAAGCCATGTAGTGATTAAAATCAAAGCTTGCAAATCTATTAACCCTAGAATTTGATCTAGCTGTAGGTACCAATTTGATGGCTAAGATTGATAGATATATTGCTGTCTAATGGCAAACAACACTGGCACCAGCTAGTATCGACATTTCTAGCATCAAAACAAGGATTGGGGCTACTAAATTTTAAAGACAAACAATGCACAACTAGATATCAACTAATCTTCGAAAACCAAAAGGGAAATTTCAATAACTAGGATTGAACTTAGATGGGGAAAAAACTTAGCTGCAAAAACGATATAATGCTAGAGATGAGACTCTAACCTTATCAACTAGTCCAGCAGTTGCGCCGGAGCTCCGAACTCTATCTTCTATCAACCATCCAGGCGGCAACCAAGATTCCGGAGCCACCACGCGCCGCTTCGCCTTGGGATCTGCCGAAGACGAAGAGTTGACGGGGGCAGGTTCCGGTGTATCCGGTTGGGCGCCATTCGGAATCGAACCGCTGCGAATTTTGGTGAGATTGGGAGACTGGCTTTGACCGTTGGCGTCAATGAAAGCCCCGTGTTTGAGAAGCGGATCGGAAGGTAAATCGGTCGGGGAGGGTTGAACCAAGTCTGACATTACTCAGACGGCAGAATGAGCTGATTTTCTTTTAGGAGTTTTTGGAAAGAGAATAAAAGGTTAAATACAAGCATGTTCGATTCTACCTATAACGCCGTGAAAAAATTGCTGTTATTTCGATTACGCGTCAGCTTTTTAGCATAACATGTAATCAAATTGCCGTTAAGACCACTACCAAAACGCATACATTTTTAAGCAACATACAAAATTCATAAATTAAATAGTTTCTAATTCGAAATTCGTTTCATCCAATTTTAGATATTTATAATATAATTTGTTTGATGAAAAAATAAATTAAAAAATAAAGATTTTCGAATTGATAAATTCATGATTATGTAATTCTCTTATGATATATATCAACAATAATGAAATTTTTCTTATTTTCTCGTAATTTTATCTTTTAATTTTTTAAATAAATATTGTATTCATGTATTTATTTATTTTATTATTTTATACTATTTACTCATCGTTATTATTCGTAACAGTCTAAAACACTAATACTACTGAAAATCAAATAATATATATATATATACACATTCAATCAAATAATTTTTTTATTCAATTCAATAATTAATACTTTATTGATTGACCAGGAATGATCTATTCACACACTATAATTTTTTTATACTTTATTATATCATCTCCAACGCATCATTAGAGTATATAAAATCTTTACTTTAGAGATAAATTTCAACTCCAATCAATCTCCACTTTCAACGCTAGAATATAGAAAAACTACAGTGATATTCTACATCTAGAGTTGCACTGTAGTTGCCCTACATTTTTTTTGTTATTTTTATGATTTTTGGTTTTTGTTTTTTTAATTTAATTTAATTATTTTCTTTTTATTTATTACATTATTTTCTCTTATTCTATCTTTTATGTTTTTATTGTAATTTCTATACAATCAAATAAAAATTAAACATAATATAATAAATTCAAGTAGATTAATTGTAAGATATAAAAAATATATTGAAATTAGATAAATAAACATACTAATAGTTAAATATTGTGAATAAAGTAGAGTTTGTGGTAATGTAGAGATAGTGTTGGAGATGAATTACTGTTTCATCTTTAGAGTAGAGATAAATATTCTGTAGAGTAGAGATGGGGGCTAGAGATGACCTTAATGTAGTTGATGTGAAAATAAACGACATAAATTAACAGTAGAAAATAAGAATATTTTTACAAAAATAATGAGTTAATCTTGTGCTTTCACTTATCTAATGATTCTAAAATTATGTAAAAATAAAAATATGGGTAAACTACGTGTATAGTACTTAAACTATTAGTTTTGGTCGTTTAATACTTAAATCATTTTTTTTTAAATCATACATAATGTTTAATTTTTGTTTCATTTTAGTATTACGCCGTTAAAAACTTAATGGACAGGATGACATGGCATAGCCCCGTTAGACGGATGATTAATCTGAACGATGGACCACGAGAGAATGACGAGTCAATCAACATAATCCAATTCTAAACCATCAGACGGTGGACCATGGAGATCGAATGATGATGAAATCGAAGAGTCTATCGTCGATTTGGGGAGATTGAGGCGTTTCCTTGTGAAATGAAGGCTCGAATCACGTTTAGGGGGTCGAAAAGGTGATAGTTGGAAAGTGTGGACTTCATCGGCCTACAGATGTGATGACTGGTGACTGTAGACGCGGCGCTCACCAAGCCTGTCTGTTAAGTTTTTAACAGCATGGTATAAAAATGAAACAAAAATAAATTTTAGATGTGATTTGGAAGAAAATGAATGTTTAGATACTAAAATGAATCAAAATTAACAGTTTATGTACCAAACATGTAGTTTGCCCTAAAAAACTTTACCTTACATCCTAACCCTTGATTAACAGCTCAACTTTAAAAAATATAATTATAAAAATTGAATAAACAATGATAAAAAATAATTTATACTATTTTAAAAGTAATTTTAAAAATAATTTATAGTAAGGGATGAATTTCTAAATTAAAAAAAAGAGAGAATGAATTTGTAATGAAATAAAAATGTATCAGTAATAAAAATATATATAAAAATCTGTTAATTCAAAATTTTTTAAGGGCCGGTCGTTCCCTTCTATCCATCCGTGGTTATGGTTGTTAATATTGTTAAAAACGAACCTTATTCTCCAGCTTTTGGTGGATGATTGCAGGATCCAGATGAGCTCCCTCTGGACATTAGTCCGAAGCATGTTTTCAGGGAAGAGGACTGTGCTGCCGCTCTCGTTAAAAAGAAGACAACATTTGGATCAAATAATTAATTTTAAAAATAGGAGATAAGTACGCCTTCTAACGCCCCCCAAACTCTTTAATGAAAGTGGCAGATAAGGCAGTAAACTCTATTCAATCAATTAGGGCATGCTTGGTATTTGAAGAATAGTTGATGTTGATGATTAACGATATAACACGTGTCACCGTGTGTGTTGACTGATCGTATCCTATGTTGACCACATCGAACGCGTAAGAGCCGCTATCAACAAATCAAAGGAAATATATTCCACTCATCGGGTATTCTTACATCATAAAACCCAAATATGTATTTATATATTTCAATACGTAATAATTATATTTAGGAAAACAATACATTTGGTGTTCATATTTATTATATAAGGTGGGTCAATTCATCCTAAGACCTCCAATTATACTATAAATTTTATTCAAACTTTAAAATTTTAGTTCTCAAAATATTAATATTGTATCCATCATGTCTTTCTATCAATTTAGTTATTAACTTAAAAATTAAATTTTAATATAATACATATTTAAAATATGCCAATAAAATTGTGTGTGTATATATATTGTATTTATAATTTACATATGATTATTATTATTTTTAAATAATTTTTATTTTTTTAACACTATCAAATTTTTAACATATTAGGTTTAAATTATCAATACATTAAAGAAATAAATATTTATAGTTTATATTTTTAAAATGTATTTAATATTAGATTTGAACTGAGATTTAATATTAAGATGAAGAAAAGCTTTAGTGTTTTCAAGTAAGACGGTTTACAATATACGTAATAATCTGGGATGTTTCTGCAATTAACCTATTTTATTTTATATTGGTGATGTGTGCGGATATCATCTAAGATATTGCCGCCCGCAATCTCTCTCTCTTCCATTTAAAAACTTCATAGATAATGTTCAAAGACAAAACCAAGTATTAGAGTTTCGCATATCAATCACTGTCTCTTTGAGAATCTGTTTCACTGTTTGTCTCTCAGAGGTAAGAAAATGGAAATCCTATCTGCAACTAAGCTCTTCTTCTTCTTATTATTATTCAGCTGCCACGTATCCTTTCTCTCATCATCTGCAACCGCAGCATACTCCATCGGCGTCAACTACGGAACTATCGCCGACAACCTCCCACCTCCTAAAGAAGTAGCAAACTTCCTCAAAACAAAAACAAACATCGACAGGATTAAGATATTCGACGCGAATCCCGACATCCTTAAAGCCTTCACCGGCACGGGAATCTCCGTTACCGTTACAGTCGGAAACGGTGACATCCCATCCATCGCTAAGCTCCCCGGAGCTCAAGCTTGGATCGAAAAGAATATATTGCCGTATCACCCGAAAACAATCATCAGATACATCGCCGTTGGGAATGAAATCCTTGCCACGTCGGATAAAACCCTCATCGCTCACCTTTTACCCGCCATGAAAGCACTCAGATCTGCTCTCGACTTGGCTAAGGCTCGGAGCATCAAAGTCTCGACGCCGCATTCACTCGGGATCTTGTCCACATCGGAGCCGCCGAGTTCAGGGAAGTTCCGCAAAGGATATGACAAGCTAATCTTCGCGCCGATTTTGGAGTTCCACAAGCAAACAAAATCTCCTTTCATGGTAAACCCGTATCCATATTTTGGCTACAAGCCTCAAACGGCAGACTATGCTTTGTTCAAACCAAACGGCGGCGTTTTGGACGCTGGCACTGGGATTAACTACACCAACATGTTCGACGCGCAACTGGACGCGGTCTATTCCGCAATGAAACGGGTTGGGTATGAGGATGTGGATATCGTGGTGGCTGAAACCGGATGGGCCTCCGCAGGCGATCCGGGTCAACCCGGTGTGAGCGTGGAGAATGCGTTATCTTACAATGGGAACCTCGTGAAGCACGTGGACTCCGGTAAAGGGACTCCTTTGATGCCCAACAGGACTTTCGAAACCTATATTTTCGCTTTGTTTAACGAGAACCTTAAAGAATCTATTCCGGAGCGGAATTTCGGGTTGTTTAAACCCGATTTGACTCCGGTTTACGACGTGGGCATTCTCCGCCATGATCAGGTAGTTTTCCTCAACTTTTATTTTGGTTCATTGGATTTGGTCTACGCTAACGCTAATACAGTAAAAATGTTTGAAATGTCACGCTCTGGTTTCTGACACATGAAAGTTTTGTCACGTGATTGCGTAGCCAACTTTGATATAAAAAGACAAGCCGTACGTGGCTTAGCTGTCTCCAGACCAAATTACCATTTCCTTTTTAACACGCTTTCCACTGTTTTAGTCCTTTTGCCTGCTAAAAATCTCCCGCTCTTTTCTTCTTTGTCTGAAAAAATTAACGTCGGTGAGATTTTGCACGTTATTTTGAAAAAAGAATTTTAACATTTAATTTTGTTGTCATATTTTTATTTTTAGTTAACATCTAATGTTTCAATACGAGATTCAAACTTATTTTTATTACCGAGTTATTTGAGCTGTTGGATTTGGACAAAGTAATAATAACTGTTTTTAATTAGCGTTAAATTTATGAATTATTAAATCAGAGCGTGGTACTTTGTTTTTTGTAATGCAGGGGGTAGGTCCAACGTCGGCCGTGCGTGCCAAAATCGGACGCCAGTGATGCGGCGTTGCAAGCGAACATCGATTACGTGTGCAGCACTGGATTAGATTGTAGACCGATCCGAGCAGGTGGTACCTGCTTTAACCCGAATAATGTAAGGTCACATGCATCGTACGCAATGAATGCTTACTATCAAGCCAATGGTCGTCATGACTTCAACTGTGATTTTAATCGTACGGGTGTCATCACCTCCAGTGATCCAAGTAAGCTCCCTTTTAAATTTTATATAATATAAACTATCAACCTATAAAATATAGAATATTAAATATAATTGTGATAAAAATACAGTAACAATGGACTGACGAATTTTTCTACGGTGGCAGGTCACGGGGCTTGCAACAATTCAGTTGATCAAGGGCCAGCGTTAAAGTTGGAAAGTTCGATGGCTGCAAATCCGATGGATTATGCACTTTTCTGCACGTTTTCTTTTACTTGCTTATCGTACTATATGATTTTTATGAACCTTTTTAGGCTTTATTAAATGAATTTCTACTTTTGTGGGAACAATTTTATGTAACCGGTCTAGTTTTTTTTTATCAAATATGTAACTGGTATAGCACATTAAACTTTTAGCATTATTTTTGTACCTGCCTTAATAGGTGGAACTATAAATTATCCCATTAAAATCTTTGATTAGTACATTAAAATCTATTTTGTTTAAATTTGAACTTTTGATGTAACGTAAACCCACGTGATTAACACCACGTTAGTATTTCACCTACAACTCATTTTTCTACAATCTTTCGATTATATATATAATCACTATACACGCGCACACATCAACGTAAACGCAGCTAGTAGAGAGAATTCAAGCTTTGCAAAGCCAGTCTTGAATGGCCTGACGTATGGCATGGTTCGGGGTAAGATGCAAATGACTCAACTTCAAATTTGTCATCGGTGAAGTTTCGCGGCCGTTTTCCAGCCACCCTCGCAAGGCTTCTCCTTCATACGTGAATCCATCGGCTGCCACTTGAGGGTCATGCATTATTTCCTGTAATAAGAAAAAAAGGAACATATTCAGTCGGACATGACGGACGCATAGTTCGGCACCACAAATGGAAGAGTCATGAATTAATACAATTAGTTGCAAAGCAGCCTAGGATGTGAAGAGTTTCAGTGCCATTTATGAGTACTAAAAATAGTCCAATGGAGTCACATATATGAACTTATAAGACACTTTACCTGAAGGATGGGGCATAAAAAGAAAGATGGAACTGACCGCTCCTCGGTGAGATGCAATTGCCCCAATTCCCTCACCAGAGATGGTTTTAGATCAGGCCGAACCCTACTGTAGGGTTCACAAAATTGCAGCCCCAGATCGACCAAACGCCTTGCTACAAACATAGGCCATTCTCCAGCTGATTTATCAAGAATTGATGAAAATTTACCACTTGACACAGCTCTCCGCACTTCAGTAGCTAACCCAATTGGTGGCCTCCCTGTGAGCATCTGTAGGATGATCAACCCAAAGGCATAAACATCGGACTTGGGAGTTAAGACACCAATCCTCTGAAATTCTGGATCCGAATATGGAAAAGAACCCTTTGGCTCAGTACTACGACGGAAACTTGGGCAATATATATATTATCCTCTGTTACTAACCTCGAGATACCAAAATCACATATCTTGCAGCTTAATTCTGAATCTAGAAGAATGTTTTCAGGTTTTAAATCGCCATGGACTATCTTTTCAGGTTTGGTAGAGTGCAAAAAGCAAAGAGCACTAGAGATTTCAGCTACTATCCGTGCTCGGGTCTTCCAGGTCAAGGGTGAAATACTTGTTTTCTTGAAAAGGCGGTCTTGGAGACTTCCATTGGGCAAGTATTCATAAACTAGGGACCAGGCTTTGGGGCATACACCAAGCAAAGTCACCAGATGAGGATGTTGTAATTTGCTGAGAACTTGAGCCTGCACCACAAACGTAAAAGCATGCAATAAAATTCAATTTTCCATCTTGCTGTGAACTAAGGGGCTGTTTGTTTGCCTCTTAATGGAACCATTTAGCATTGAATGCTGAACCGTTCAGCATTCAGCGCGTTTGTTTCACATCTCTGAATGATTCAGTGCTGACAGATTCAGCAAAACAATGCTGAATGATTCAGCACAGAAGTATATTCTGAATGATTCAGAGTCATTATCAAACAATATGTCACATTCAGAGCCTCTGAATCATTCAGCGTTTAATCATTCTGAAGTAAACAAATAACCCCTAACCCTATCGAGATTCATGGGGGAGAAGGAAAATAAGAGTACACAAATGATGAAGCAGCGGCATATAAAAAAATCAATATGAACTTGTTTCGATTCTCATAGAGAAAACAACTATACTGCAAGAGAGAAAGAGCATGCCAACCTCCTGTTGAAACTCAGACTGCCCTTGCATGTTATGTGGATACAGCTTCTTTATAGCAACAGTTCTACCCAGCATTTCCCCCTTGTAAACACAACCGTGTCCTCCCTTTCCGATTTTGAAGCTCTCAGAAAAATTGCACGTTGCGGTTTGGACATCTGCCAATGAAAATTCAGCTAACTCGGGTAAATCTTCAACAATCCCAATGAAACCATTACAAGTAGCAGCTTGCCCAAGATTTCTCCAACGTTCTAACCAGCGAACTGCTTCCAGTTTTTGCCGTCTGATTCTCTGCTTTTCCTCTCGCAAAGTTTCAATGGATGCTTGGATTAATTTCAATTCTCCAGAAGCTTCATCATGTTTATGATTTGCTTCTTGTGTGCACATGTTTAGTAGGGCGACATTTCTCATGGTCCTCTGTAACTCTTTTGTTACTTCTTCTTTCTCCTTTAAGTGCTTTTCTTGTTCTTGCATTGTAGTTCTAAGGGCTTCCTCAGCTTCCTCTCTAAGTTTGACTTCATGAAGACGGGCAGATTCAAAATCTTTGATCTGAAAAAAAAATACTTTTAGAAGGACACCTGAGAAATCCAAAACTTCAACCATACTCATATTACCGTCATTATCGTCATGCCTTGCAATTAAGTAGAATCCGAATCCAATAGAAAATGTGTAATCTCCGGTAAAGTGTAGATATATCTACCTTGTTGATAGCTTTCATAGCTTCTAATTCCAATCTTTGGCATTCCAATGACTCAGCTACTGTTTCATTCCTTGATGCCTTAGCTTCTGTAATTGCTTCTTTGATCCGAAAGGATAGACTTCCATCCTCATCCTTTGAATAAGAATAAAAAGATAATATCATTTGAAAAGAAGCACGTTCGGAGCCAGTAGTATAACTTGTGCTAGACAAACACTGATGGTAGTTGGGAGAATATCTAGCAGAGATGCTAGATATTCTCGGTGAAAGAGACACATCCGCATAAGCTGGTTCACCCTCAGTCAATTGAGCACTTGAAACAAATGTTATACTTCTAGAAGAGATAGAATGAAAATCTTCAGGGTGTACCAACAAAGAACCATTACAATGTGATAGTGAGTTAGACCTCAACATTTGTGCAGTGGCAGTCATTCCACCAACTGGTTGAAACGAACACGGTTCCTCTGAGGCTGCCCTTGTCCACACAAGTTTGCCTTTGTTGATAAACCATATATCACAAAAGCAGGGAGCTTGTTTGGCAGCATAACTTGCTTTGCAGGAGCTCTTTTTCGTTCTCGTGCAACTGTATTAAACCATTAGGATTCTATTCAAGGATACCAAGAAAAAGTACTCCTAATATCACTGGAAACGGACTGATCTAAAAGCCAGGGTGAAAAATATTCAAACGAACACAACAAGAACAGAATGTAAGTAATCTATTATTTGTTTGAAATGGGAGGAGAGATGAAAGAATGATAAACATTTGTACTATACTATGTTGCTCCAGCTATTCATTTTTCTAGAAGCACCGGTGTTCAACATCTGTGTCCAACACATACCAGAAAATGAACACACCCACGTCGACACTAGTAACCGAGTCAGATAACATACTTGCTACAAGAAAAAATAAGTCTACATACTGGACTTAACATGCAACATTATCGTTCTATAGTTTTAGAAAAAGTAATTAAAGAGACTTGGACATTAAAGACATACGCTGGTATGGCTCCCATAACAAGGCTCCTAATTTTGTGTCTCTTAACCAGTTCTACAATCCCTGTATGAACCTGGTCAGCTTCAATGGTGATAATGCTTATATTGACCTGCAAAGTGAATGCTTTGAAGATGAAGCTCCACTAAATCATGTAAAAGAACAAAATATATATTAATTTTCTTCCTAAGTGCAAACGTATAATCACATAAGAGTGAGTGAATGAGTGGCAGATGAAAGAATGTTTGCAATAGCAAGAAATTCGGATTTCGTATTATATGAAATCCCCATATCAATCATACTCAGCTTATTTGTATATGCCATAAGCTAGTAACCTGCATACCATAGACTCTATGTTGCTCCGAGACTTCATTTTTTTTCTCTTAAAGCAACTATGTTCGGCACATCTTCGGACTTGTTTATCCAAGAATACATGACTCTGGTAAAGAAAGAGATGCTAAACCTTTAATCTGCGGCAAAAACTCGAGTAATTTGCTAAAAGCTTCTTCAACTCTTCCTTCTCCTTCCTTCTATATGCAGAAACGACTTGACCGTTGGCTTGACTTGCGGGTAGTTTTCCCACTGACAAATTATAAATGCCAATAACATTTAATTAATTAACCACGACATTACATGAAACCAGTTATTCATTACAATGCCCGAAGGCGGGGGGAATTCTAACAGACTAACAAAAGAAACCATTAACAAATCCATATTACAAATCAAAATTCTAAAAGACAAAAATAAAATAGGGAGACAGCAAGAGAGAGAGATTTTTACATAAAGTGGGAATCAGTGGGGAAGGATGATGAACATGAAGCAAACAAATATCTTTACCGCCAAACTGCCTCATCGTCCAATGTAATAGATCAACCGCTTTCTCAACCGATTTTCCCACCGCTACGAAGACGTTGTCTTTCTCCCCAGAGGCAAAGCCACCGGTTTCCTCTACTAATTCCGGGAAACGCATACTCGCCGGACGGTCAACTCGTCGCCTGAAACTCGACATTGAAATGGGCTCTCCGGTTGTGTCTTGGTGAGTCGGGTTGAGAAGCTCCGTATTGTTTGAGAGAGGATAAATTCACTGGTATTATTTTTAAAAGAAATTCCACTCAAAGGAGTCTTTTCATTTGACTATGTTTCCGTAATCTGTATGAACAAATTTTAAAGATTCTCCAAATTTTTTTTCCTGGCTTACACTTTCTGCGAACGAAGGGTGGAGGGAGGCTTGACTTTTTGTTGAGTTGAGAGAGAGAGAGCAGAGTTGGTTGAAATATCAAGAAAAATAGCGAGGGTAAACTAAGCTATAGTGTCATTGTATTTTTTTTTCATCGATTTTTCAAATATTATAATAATTACTAACTATTCAAAAAATTATAAAATTATTTTATAGTCTTGATAATAAATTTAAAGATTATCTTTTTTTATAATGTCTACTTTAAGTCAATTAAAAAAATAAAGTATACAAATAATTTATCAATTATAAGATGTTGTTTTGTGAAGTTATTTAACTATTAAAAATTATAAAACGATATGTTGAGTATATTATGTTGTTTTGTTAAATCACCTCAACTA